CGGTGGAAGTACGCTCACAAGATACAGCCTAGAACAGGGGTGGGCAAATTTTTTGACTCGCGGGCCACAATGGGTTCTAAAATTTGACAGAGGGGCCGAGCCAGGAACGGATGGACGGAGTGTTTGTGTAAACCAATATAAATGACGCGTTAAAAATCATTACATGAAAGGATTTGGCCTTTAACAGGTAGCAAAGCATTTATTTGCAAGGCAATTGAACAAATTGCACGAACATGAACAATACAAAAACGTGTCGTGTAACGTGGCTGATCAAACATCATGAAAACATCCGAGGCCTGCGCCCAAACCAATTACCACACTCCCGGTCAAAGTGCGCCATCTAATGGTGAAATGGGGGCATTAAAGGAGAAAGGTGAAATTTAATTTAATAATAATAATAATATTTGGACAAGTTCGGCGGGCAGGATTAAAAAGCCCAACGGGGCCGTACTTTGCCCACGTCTGGCCTAGAATCTCATTGGCCCCTTCCTACCGAATTGATAAAAATTCCGATGGAAACGTATCTGTTTCCGAGCTTCGCACACAAATCCAGCCTGGTTAGACTCGCGTATAATGCGTGTGTGTATGTACCTCGCCCACGTGGTCGTCGGGAAGCAATACCAAGCATGTGTGTGTGCACGTGTGCACGTGTACACGTGTCCGTGTACAGGACTACGTGGCCGTGAAGGAGAAGTATGCAAAGTACTTGCCCCACAGCTCCGGCCGCTACGCCGCCAAGCGGTTCCGCAAGGCACAATGCCCCATCGTGGAGCGCCTCACCAACTCCATGATGATGCACGGACGCAACAACGGCAAGAAGCTGATGACCGTGCGTATCGTCAAGCACGCCTTCGAGATCATCCACCTCCTCACCGGCGAGGTGAGTTAACCCCCACCGTCCTCACCGATGATGACCAGGGTGACTTCCTTGCGAGTTGCGCTTTCCCCAACACCTTTGTGGACCACGTTGGGGGGGGGGGGGGGGGGGGTGGGCGGGGAGCTCTCGCTCTGTGTCTAGCTGCGCTACGAACCCGGGAGACCCGGCTTCGATTGCCCCCCTTACGGCCACCGACGCCGGTGGCGATTATCTTCACCGGCCCTGGGCCCTCCCCTGGGTAGACTCGGCCCGGAAAACTAATTTTATTTCGAACCGCGTCGTGTGTTTAGTTTAGTTTTGTCCTTCCCCTCACCCCCGCCCCCCCCGATAAGCACGGTTGGCCCTGTACGGCGTGAAGGAAGTTCAACACGCGTACGGCCTCAAACGAGTACCTTGGTGCGGTGCGTCGTAAACAATACGACGCGGGAGACAAAGGCGGCCGGGCGTGCTGCTGGCCACCCTATCCCTTCGTGCGCCACGGTGCCGGCCTTCATTGGTGATGCTGCTGCTGCTGCTCGCGAATGGCACCCGGCCCCAACAGTCTGCTAAGGCTGTATTGGATGATCTTTGTCTTGTTTGCGTACGTAGAGCTGGTGTAGCGGTCAGCGCTACGAACCTTGCGAGTCGGGTTCGGTTCCCGCTCACGGCCAAACACCGGTGACGGTTATCTGAACCGGTCCCGGGCCCTCCCCAAGTTCGACTCGGCACTCAAATGAGTGCCCGGTGTGATGTGTGGGCATCGGCACGAGGGAGACAAAGGCGGCCGGGCTTGGTGCTGGCCACCCACCGCCTCGTGTGCCACGGTGCCGGCCTTCACGGGTGCTCGCTAACAGCCCTTGCCCCAACAGTGTTAAGGCTACACGGGGGATCTGTGTCTTTGGCTTCATAGAACCCGCTGCAGGTGCTGGTGAACGCCATCATTAACAGCGGCCCGCGTGAGGACTCCACTCGTATCGGCCGCGCGGGAACCGTGCGGCGACAGGCGGTGGACGTCTCTCCTCTTCGCAGGGTCAACCAGGTCCGTCCACTGCTACACTGCCGACTCGCACAGACACTGCACGATACTGATGCAGTACCCAGATCTTACACCACTCGATGCCACAGCGCATGCAGTGCTACTGCACTGGGTCACACACACACGTCTCTCCCCTTCGCAGGGACAACCAGGTCTGTCCACTGCTACACTGCTGACTCGCACAGACACTGCACGATACTTATGCAGTACCCAGATCTTACACCACTCAATACCACAGCGCATGCAGTGCTACTGCATGCGCTGTGGTATTGTAGCAGTGGACAGACCTGGTGGTCCCTCCACAGGGACCACCAGGTCTGTCCACTGCTACACTGCTAATTCACACAGATACTACACGATACTGATGCAGTACCCAATACTACACCCAATGCCACAGCGCATGCAGTGCTACTGCACTGGGTCACTTACACGTCTCTCCCCTCAACCAGGTCTCTCCACTGCTACACTATACTAATACAATACTCAACCCTACTCCACTCAGTACAACTCCACACAATTATACACCTACACTCCTACTCACCCTCCCCCCCCCCTGCAGGGTCAATCAGCTACAACCGATGTATGTATGTATATCACGGTTGTGCTGTATTATGTCTACTCCCAGGTGTTTTTGTGGTGCGTATTGTGTATAACGATTGCTGTGTGCCCAGGCTATCTGGATGCTGTGTATTGTGTGTAACGCGTGTGTTGTAACGTGTGTGTAACGCACGGTTGTGTGTAACGCGTGTGTATGTGGTGTGTGTCACGCGTGTGTTGTAACGCGTATGTGGTGTATGTGACGCGTGTGCTGTGCGTGACGCGTGTGTTGTGTTGTGTGTGACGCCTGTGTTGTGTGTGACGCGTGTGTTGTGTTGTATGTGACGCCTGTGTTGTGTGTGACGCGTGTGTGTTGTGTGTAACGCGTGTGTTGTAACGTATGTGGTGTGTGTGTAAAGCGTGTTTGTTGTGTGTAACGCGTGTGTTGTAACGTATGCGGTGTGTGTGTGACGCGTGTGTGTTGTGTGTAACGCGTGTGTTGTAACGTATGTGGTGTGTGTGTAAAGCGTGTTTGTTGTGTGTAACGCGTGTGTTGTAACGTGTGCGGTGTGTGTGTAAAGCGTGTTTGTTGTGTGTAACGCGTGTGTTGTAACGTGTGTGGTGTGTGTGTGACGCGTGTTGTGTATAACGCGTGTGTTGTAACGTATGTGGTGTGTGTGTGACGCGTGTTGTGTATAACGCGTGTGTTGTAACGTATGTGGTGTGTGTGTGACGCGTGTTTGTTGTGTGTAACGCGTGTGTTGTAACGTATGTGGTGCGTGTGTGACGCGTGTTGTGTATAACGTGTGTGTTGTAGCGTGTTTGTTGTGTGTGACGCGTGTTTGTTGTGTGTAACGTTGCAGGCGATCTGGCTGCTGTGCACGGGAGCGCGCGAGGCCGCATTCAGGAACATCAAGACGATCGCGGAGTGCCTCGCTGATGAGCTCATCAACGCTGCCAAGGTCTCACCACCACCATTCACCACTACACTCGCCACCACTACACTCGCCACCCAATGTATCGCAGATGTGATCATCAACGCCGCCAAGGGCTCACCACCACCATTCACCACTACACTCACCACCACTACACTCGCCACCCAGTGTATCGCAGATGTGATCATCAACGCCGCCAAGGTCTCACCACCACCATTCACCACTACACTCGCCACCACTACACTCGCCACCCAGTGTATAGCAGATGTGATCATCAACGCCGCCAAGGGCTCACCACCATTCACCACTACACTCGCCACCACCGCTACATTCGCCACCCAGTGTATAGCAGACCTGCTCATCAAGGCCGCCAAGGGCTCGCCACTACAATCACCGCTCGCCATCATAACTCGCCACCCAGCGTCCCGTCTTTTCGGTTAGTTCACCGCCTGTCGAATCCGGCAACCGGAATTAAATTCCCACACGTGGCAAACGTCGATGACGACCGTCTGTACCGGTCACGGGCCTTCTCCGTTTGTTTGACACGGCCTGAACTTTTAGTACCTTTGTTGCGGTGTGTAAGCATCCGCACTGGGGAGACAAAGGGGGCCAGGCGTTGGGTCTGACCACACCACCCTGTCGTGTGCTTTGCCGGGCTTCATAGGTGTGCCACTCACCGCTAACGGCACTTGCCCCAGCAGCAGCCTGCTGTATGTCTACATGGGGTATTTTTTTTGTGTGCGTAACCCATGTCGTCGTGTGTTCGCGCGCAGGGCTCTTCCAACTCGTACGCCATCAAGAAGAAAGATGAGCTGGAGCGTGTGGCCAAGTCCAACCGCTGAGTCCCCCACGGAAACCCAATAAACATGGTTCCTGCAGATACAGCCTCCCGTGTCTTTCGTTCACATCTCCCCGACCCCCTCCCCCCCCGACTCAGGGTCTAAAAACTTGAGTTTATCCCCGTTCTAGAATGACGCAGCCGAGCTGGATCAAGGCCGTGCCAAGGCAGTCCGGCGCTGCGTAGGAGTTTGGTTTTTTTCCCCCCCTACTGTGGCAGCCACACGGCGCTGCTCAAGGCGCGGCGCAGTTAAGACGCTTGTGTAGCTGTTGCGGTAATCCTGCATCCCCAGCGTGCTGAATGCCATTTGCACGTTGTTGTGAGTTTTATTATGAGGTCAGCAACAACCCTGCTCTCCAATTTGCTGGGTGAAAAGGCGGGCTAAGTTTGACCCAATTCTGCCCAGCTAATCTCGACGAACGTAATAAACATGACATTATCTTGGTCCCAAGCCAGACTCGGCACGTCTTAAATTTTGATTTAAAGCTTTCGTGACTGCAGTAATTCATATTCTTGGTTCTTTCGGTAAAGTAATAAACATGACATTATTCACACCCTGGTGACTGTGTTACAGTCGAAACGTCGTGGGAATGTTATTGTTTTATATATATTTTATTGTTTCCCTTCAACGTGACTTTGCCGAAAGAACCAAGAATATCGGTGCATCCTGTGAAGGCGGTCATGGTCTGGTTCTGGCTATCGAAACAGACTGTAAAACGTGCGAGGAACCCCCACCCCCCCTTCCTCGTGCTGGCCCGGTTCAGACATGCCGGTGGAAAAAGGAATGACAAGCTTGGGTTGCACGCTGAGAGACACATGGAGCAGATGTTCCACTTTATTTGATCGTTAAATGAAGGGTGGGGGGAAGTGATGATGGGTACACGGGAAAGAGGTGGCTGTGACGGTGTGGAGTGAGAGGGGGGCTGTGTACACGGGAGATGGCAGGGAGTGGTGGCTGTGACGGGGGGGGGGGGTCACACGGGCCCAGGGAGCGTGGGATCCGAGGGATCGAGGATTGTGCGTCTCCGCGCAGACTCGCGCGACACGTTGTGGTTCAGTCTTGCCAGACGTTCCTGCAACGTTCACAAGGTCAACATCGTTGTAAGTTGTATCTACGCGGCTTTACCGAAAGACCCGAGAATATGAATTCCTGCAGTCATGAAAGCTTTAAATCAATATTAAGTTGTACGTGCACATACTCTTTGGTTCTATTCGGTAAAGTCACGTAGGTAAAAAATAAAACAAATCACGACGTTTCATGTACTAGGTGCCTGTGGATGTGTAGGCTTTGACTTTAACATAGCTATTTCTGTGACCAGTCAAGCTAATCCCTCAGCTATTTCAATGCTAAAGTATCCTGTTTGATATGTAAACTCCTTTGTCAAGGTGCCTCACTTCTCTCACCCAGCTTAAAAGACGCTACGAATCTTAGCGTTCATTGAAGCTCTGTCGTCCCCGACAGTTTTGTTCCTTCACCTGATGAAGGCCACTTGTGTTGTGGCCGAAACGTGATTTGTTTTAATTTTTTACCTACGTGACTTTACCGAATATAACCAAAGAGTATGGATCCTTGCAGTCACAAAAGCTTCAAATCTAGAATTGTACGTGCACATTAGCTAGGATCTTGTGTTGTGGTGGTGGTTGTACGTGTACATTGCATGAACTTATTTCACGCCGTAAAGTAAAACGTGCTTGTTGGAGGTGTGGATTCTGTAAGAACTTGTATTGTGGTTGTGATGGTTGTACCTGCATATTTTGTAGGATCTTGTATGATGGTGGTGGTTGTGGAGATTGTACCTGCATATTTTGTAGGCTCTTGTATGATGGTGGAGGTGGAGATTGTACGTGCATGTTCTAAGAGCTTGTCGTGGTTGTACCTGCAAGTTTTCTAGGATCTTGTGGTTGTACTTGAATGTTCTGTAGGATCGTGTGTTGTGGTGGTGGTTGTACCTGCAAGTTCTCTAGGATCTTGTGGTTGTACTTGAATGTTCTGTAGGATCGTGTGTTGTGTGTGGTGGTTGTACCTGCAAGTTCTGTAGGATCTTGTGGTTGTACTTGAATGTTCTGTAGGATCGTGTGTTGTGGTGGTGGTGGTTGTACCTGCACGTTCTGCAGGATGTTGTTGACCAGCACCACGCGTCTCCGCGCGTTGAGCAGTTTCTTGACGTACACGTCGAGGTCGGGAGCCCCAGCCTGCTCCTCGCTCACTCTGCGCAGCTCTGCACACAGAGAGACAGATCCCCGCCCCTCGTCGCCTGAAGCATGTTGCTCGGAGCAGCAGCAGCCGCTACTCCGCATCACCGCGGCGCTTGTGCCGGGGCCACTCGGGAGGCCACGCGAATAAGCGTTGAAGGCTCGCCGCTGGCAGGAGGTCACGGGGCAGACCCAGGTGCGCCATGGGTCGACTGGCTGTGACTGGCAGGTGCACGAGGTGGTCACGGGACAGACCCAGGTTTCGCCATGGGTTGACTGCTGTGCCAAGCTAGGTGCACGAGGTCACGGGATAGACCCAAGCAGGTACCAAGAGTTGACGAAGATGGCTGGCAGATGGCACCACCTGTGCCCCCTACTGTGCCAACTCCCACAACGTATCCGCTCCATGTGAGCGTCTCTGCTCTTTAAAATTTTTGTCAGGCGTAAAGGCCAACTCCCCGTTTAATTAAACCTAAACTATTACTTTTAATTTTGTCAGGGGTAAAGCCCCCCCCTGAGCTGCCGTGTAGCTCTTTGTCAGATGTGACGCTGGCCGTCACAGACGATGGTAGGCATCATCATCACGTGGTGATGATGATGACTTGCATCCCACTGGGATTTTTTGCACACAGCGTTGGTGTACGGTGCTTTTTTCAGGAATATTTTTGCTGGGTTTTTTTCCATGGATTTTCTGTTTGCACAGTCACACAGTCACTTTAAGATGTTTTTCTTGTTCGTGTTTTTTGCTTGTTGCGGTTGCACCCGATTCAAGAGCCGAATGGCTCACAGGGCTATACCAAAATAAGTAAACTGAAACCAGCAAGTCCACTCAATAACCACATCGGCCCAGCTGCAGAGCAGAATTCCTGCAGTCACGAAGTCGAGGCAAACCCTATTGTTATAAATAATAAAGTGTCTACTTATTTGTGTTTCTCCCCTTTGATGAAAGTTGAGTTTTATAAAGGGGCACGGGGTGACGAATAAGATCCGAATCCGCCTGTCGTGAGGTGGGACACCGTTAAAGGGGTTGACAGGTTTGAGATATACGAAGACAACTCAAGCAGCACCCACCTGCAGCCAGAGACTCGATCTGCTCTCTGAGATCCATCTGCGACTCCCTGCACGCCACACACAAACACGTGGCGAGAAGATGGACGTGACGTCACTACAGAACTCGCTCGCCACGGAGTGCTCACACGGCACCACTCGCTATCACTCTACGGCAACGCAGAGAGACCCCCCCCCACCTCTGTGGAGGAGGCTGACGGGGCAAGCGCAGCAGCACCACCGACGGTTGGTGGCACGGTGGTGTGGGTGGCACGGTGGATTGGGTGGCACGGTGGTGTGGGTGGCACGGTGGTGTGGGTGGGTGGCACGGTGGGGTGGGTGGCACGGGACACGGTGGTGTGGGTGGCACGGTGGTGTGGGTGGGTGGCACGGGACACGGTGGTGTGGGTGGCACGGTGGTGTGGGTGGGTGGCACGGGACACGGTGGTGTGGGTGGGTGGCACGGGACACGGTGGTGTGGGTGGGTGGCACGGTGGTGGGGGTGGGTGGCACAGTGGTGTGGGTGGGTGGCACGGCACACGCCCGGCCGCCTTTGTCTCCCACCCCCCAGCACCTCACAGACACTGCGACCACACTCGCTCAAAACACGAAAGGGGGCGCGCTGACCCAGCCCCTCCCCTCCCACGTCTCTCACCTGACGGCCCTCACGCTCTCGTCCACGTCTCGCACGGCGGGTCTCAGTAGCCCCAAGAGACCCACGGAGATCGCCTCCCTCCCGCGGTCTCCCTGTGCCTCCTGTCCCCCCGATGTCCCCTGTCCCCGCTCTGTCTCCTGTCCCCCACCTTCCCCCTGCCCTCCCCGTGTCTCCTGTCCCCCCCGTGTCCCCTGTCCCCCCTGCGTCTCCTCCACCCGAGTCGTCATCATGGGAGCCGTGGCACGCTGAGACGACACAACGACAAACAGCAACACCGATGCCACAAGGACGCGAGTGAGACGCACGCGCGCGCACGTGTGGAGACGACACAGAGACGACGGTGATCGACGCGACGAGACACGCGGAGACACAAGGAGACAGACACCGAGACACAAGGAGAGAGACACAAGGAGACAGACACCGAGACACAAGGAGACAGACACCGAGACACAAGGAGAGAGACACCGAGACACAAGGAGACAGACACCGAGACACAAGGAGACAGATACCGAGACACAAGGAGAGAGACACCGAGACACAAGGAGACAGACACACCGAAACACGCAGAGACACGCGGCGGAGACGCGAGACGCAGCGGACACGGAGCTACTCGCGAAGCCCAAGAAACCCGGAAGTAGACGTCGGGCACGTGACCCGCCCGTATTATTTATTTACGCGCGCGAGGTCACGTGATCCCGGACAGCGCTCGTCGTCACCGGCCGTGGTCTATCCACTGCTGGGTGGAGACCTCCCCACCACCACCACCATCATCACCACCACCATCATCATCACCACCACCAACATCACCACCACCATCATAATCACCACCATCATCACCACCACCATCACCACCACCACCATCATCACCACCATCATAATCACCACCATCATCACCACCACCATCATCACCATCACCACCATCATCACCACCACCACCATCATCACCACCACCATCATCACCACCACCATTCTCATCACCACCACCACCAACATCACCACCATCATAATCACCACCACCATCATAATCACCACTACCATCATCATCACCACCACCACCATCATCATCACCACCACCACCATCATCATCACCACCACCATCATCACCACCATCATCACCACCACCACCATCACCACCACCATCATCACCACCACCACCATCATCACCACCACCATCATCACCACCACCACCATCATCACCACCACCATCATCACCACCACCACCATCACCACCATCACCACCACCATCCCTGGTCTATCCACTGCTGGGTGGAGACCTCCCCACCACCACCATCATCATCACCACCACCATAACTACCACCACCATCATCACCACCACCATCACCACCACCATCATCATCACCACCATCATCACCACCATCATCACCACCACCATCATCACCACCACCACCATCACCACCACCATCATCACCACCACCACCATCATCACCACCACCACCACCATCATCACCACCACCACCAGCCGTGGTTTATCCACAGCTAGGTGGAGACCTCCCCACCATCATCTTCTCGACAACAACGATGCAAGTTATTCTTTTTAAACCAAAACTAAACCGTTTTATTTCACGAGGTGTAAGGGCCCGCTGGGGCTGTGTCGCTCTTTTTGAGAAGCGACCCCGGATATCACAAGTGACAGCAGCTCAAGGAAGGGGGCACATCGTCATCGTCGTCGTCACGTGGGAAATTATAGCACCGGCGAAATCGTCTACAACGCGTGGTGGTGATGTTGATTGTAAATGTGGAGGGGAAAACCGGAGGACCTAGGGAGAAATCCACGCGACCACGGGGAGAGAGACACCGCAAACTCCAAATATACAGCAGCAGCAGGCATCGTTAGGGGTTGGGGTGGAACCCACGACCTCCTGCACACCAGGCGAGGTAGTTAACATCTCCTAGCCACCGTGATGATGATGAGAGAGAGACACGCAAACTCCACATACACAGCAGCAGGCGTCAGGGTCGGGATCGAACCCACGACCTCCTGTATACCAGGCGAGGTAGTTAACATCTTCTAGCCACCGTGATGATGATGAGAGAGAGACACGCAAACTCCACATACACAGCGGCAGGCGTCAGGGTCGGGATCGAACCCACGACCTGTATACCAGGCGAGGTAGTTAACATCTCTTAGCCACCGTGATGATGATGAGAGAGAGAGACGCAAACTCCACATACACAGCGGCAGGCGTCAGGGTCGGGATCGAACCCACGACCTCCTGTATACCAGGCGAGGTAGTTAACATATCTTAGCCACCGTGATGATGATGAGAGAGAGACACGCAAACTCCACATACACAGCAGCAGGCATCGTCAGGGGTTATGGTGGAACCCACGACCTCCTGTATACCAGGCGAGGTAGTCAACATCTCCTACCCACCGTGATGATGATGAGAGAGACACGTAAACTCCCAATACACAGCAGCAGGCGTCAGGGTCGGGATCGAACCCACGACCTCCTGTACACCAGGCGAGGTAGTTAACATCTCCTAGCCACCGTGATGATGATGAGAGAGACACGTAAACTCCCAATACACAGCAGCAGGCGTCAGGGTCGGGATCGAACCCACGACCTCCTGTACACCAGGCGAGGTAGTTAACATCTCCTACCCACCGTGATGATGATGATGAGAGAGACACGCAAACTCCAAATATACAGCAGCAGGCATCGTCAGGGTCGGGGTGGAACCCACGACCTCCTGTATACCGGGCGAGGTAGTTAACATCTCCTAGCCACCGTGATGATGATGAGAGAGACACACAAACTCCCAATATACACAGCAGGGGTCAGGATCGGGATCGAACCCACGACCTCCTGCCTACCAGGCGAGGTAGTTAACATCTCCTAGCCACCGTGATGATGATGATGAGAAAGAGACACGCAAACTCCAAATACACAGCAGCAGGCGTCAGGGTCGGGGTGGAACCCACGACCTCCTGTATACCAGGCGAGGTAGTCAACATCTCCTACCCACCGTGATGATGATAAGAGAGACACACAAACTCCACATACACAGCAGCAGGCATCCTCAGGGTCGGGATCGAACCCACGACCTCCTGCATACCAGGCGAGGTAGTTAACATCTCCTACCCACCGTGATGATGAGAGAGACACACACTCCACATACACAGCAGCAGGCGTCAGGGTTTGGGTGGAACCCACGACCTCCTGCATACCAGGCGAGGTAGTCAACATCTCGTAGCCACTGTGATGATGATGATGAGAGAGAGAGACACCACAAACTCCAAATATACAGAAGGCGTCAGGGTCGGGATCAAACCCACGACCTCCTGTATACCAGGCGAGGTAGTTAACATCTCAGCCACCGTGATGATGATGAGAGAGACGCAAACTCCACATACACAGCAGCAGGCGTCAGGGTCGGGGTGGAACCCACGACCTCCTGTAGACCAGGCGAGGTAGTCAACATCTCCTAGCCACCGTGTTGATGATGAGAGAGACACAAACTCCAAATATACACAGCAGGGGTCAGGATCGGCATCGAACCCACGACATCCTGCCTACCAGGCGAGGTAATCAACATCTCGTACCCACCGTGATGATGATGATGAGAGAGACACAAACTCCACATACACAGCAGCAGGCGTCAGGATAGGGATCGAACCCACGACCTCCTGTATACCAGGCGAGGTAGTTAACATCTCCTACCCACCGTGGTGATGATGATGATGATGAGAGAGACACAAACTCCACATACACAGCAGCAGGCGTCAGGGTTTGGGTGGAACCCACGACCTCCTGCCAACCAGGCGAGGTAGTCAACATCTACCCACCGTGATGATGATGATGAGAGAGACACACAGACTCCCAATACACAGCAGCAGGGGGGCGGACTTCCTTGGCGGGAAATCGCCGTCAAAGTTCTTCCAATCAAATCGCCGGCCCCGCGTCACGTGGTTCCTGCCTAGCGACAACAGCGCTAGGCAAGGTTAAGGACTGTGTCGCTGTGGGTTTGTAGTTTTTAAAAATGGCATTTTAACCGATATAAACTTTACATCTTTTTTTTCTTAATCAATGTTCGTAAGCTTGTGTTGCTCGCAACAGGGCGAAGGGATTTATTAGGAATCGCGATTTGAGAACGCGAAATTTTCGGTGAAATCGACAGCGGAGCGCAAAGGGCTTCTCCTACGGCTAGGCCGCGTTTCTGAGGTACATTCATTTAGCTTTAAAATTAAACGAAAGTAAATGGCGTTTGGTCGTGAATCTCCGTAAACTTTAGATGCAAAGTATCTCTAGTTTTTTTTTATTGTGAATGTATGTGCCCGGCTAAACGATTAGCGCCTATAATGTATTGCGCTGTCCCTATGCAGTGTACGTAACACGAATTTATCCGCGTCTGAGAAAATCGCATTTGAGGTAAAACATTTTTTTAAAGAACAGCTTTCTCAGATCAAGCTTAATCTAAATCACGCGTTATTTTAATTATACTGTGGGAGTGTGCACCGGTGTGAACGCGGAATTGCCTTTTAATGCATTCCTGCGGATTATTGACCATACTTCACCGCACTGGGCAATGCGCAAACTGCTCGGCAGCCTGTAACACCTGTTAAGAATGGTGGCCATCCCAACACTATTCATGTTGGTTGAAGTTCATGGTGACGGTGGTGATGATGCTGCTGTTCGTGGCGGTTGTTGTGTTGATGGTGGTTGTTGTGTTGGTGGTGGTGGTGGTGGTTGTGTTGGTGGTGGTGGTTGTGTAGTTGTGTTGGTGGTTGTGGTTGTGTTGGTGGTGGTTGTGTTTGTGGTGGTTGTGTTGGTGGTGGTGGTTGTTGTGTTGGTGGTGGTTGTTGTGTAGGTGGTTGTGTTGGTTGGGGTGGTTGTGTTGGTGGTGGTGGTTGTGTTGGTGGCGGTTGTTGTGTTGGTGGCGGTTGTGTTGGTGGTGTTGGTGGTGGTGGTTGTGTTAGTGGTGGTGGTTGTTGTATTGGTGGTGGTGGTTGTTGTGTAGGTGGTGGTTGTGTTAATGGCCCCGGGCGGCTAAAACGCAGCGGGGGTTGTGACAGGGGGCACAGGTGGTGCATCTGCCAGTCTTCATCTTAGTCGGTCAACTCATGGCATCTGCTTGGGTCAATCTCGTGACCTCGTGCACCTAGCCTGGCACAGAGGGGTACAGCTGGTGTGCATCTGCCAGTCATCTCAGTAAGCCAACCCATGGCACCTGCTGGGTCTGTCCCGAGACCTCCTGCACCTAGCCTGGCACAGTAGGGGGTAACAGCTGGTGTGCATCTGTCAGTCATCTCAGTCAGCCAACCCATGGTACCTGCTGGGTCTGTCCCGAGACCTGCACCTAGCCTGGTACAGTAGGGGGGTAACAGCTGGTGTGCATCTGCCAGTCATCTCAGTCAGCCAACCCATGGCACCTGCTGGGTCTGTCCCGAGACCTGCACCTCGCCTGGCCTAGTAAGGGGGTAACAACTGGTGTGCATCTGCCAGCCATCTCAGTCAGCCAACCCATGGTACCTGCTGGGTCTGTCCCGAGACCTGCACCTAGCCTGGTACAGTAGGGGGGTAACAGCTGGTGTGCATCTGTCAGTCATCTCAGTCGGCCAACCCATGGTACCAGCTGGATCTGTCCCGAGACCTGCACCTAGCCTGGTACAGTAGGGGGGTAACAGCTGGTGTGCATCTGCCAGTCATCTCAGTCAGCCAACCCATGGTACCTGCTGGGTCTGTCCCGAGACCTGCACCTAGCCTGGTACAGTAGGGGGGTAACAGCTGGTGTGCATCTGCCAGCCATCTCAGTCAGCCAACCCATGTCACCTGCTGGATCTGTCCCGAGACCTGCACTTAGCCTGGTACAGTAGGGGGGTAACAGCTGGTGTGCATCTGCCAGTCATCTCAGTCAGCCAACCCATGGCACCTGCTGGTTCTGTCCCAAGACCTGCACCTAGCCTGGTACAGTAGGGGGGTAACTGCTGGTGTGCATCTGTCAGTCATCTCAGTCAGCCAACCCATGGTACCTGCTGGGTCTGTCCCGAGACCTGCACCTAGCCTGGTACAGTAGGGGGGTAACAGCTGGTGTGCATCTGCCAGTCATCTCAGTCAGCCAACCCATGGCACCTGCTGGGTCTGTCCCGAGACCTCCTGCACCTCGCCTGGCCTAGTAGGGGGGTAACAGCTGGTGTGCATCTGTCAGTCATCTCAGCCAATCCATGGTACCTGCTGGGTCTGTCCCGAGACCTCCTGTCAGCGAGCCTGGGACACTTCACGTGGCCTCAATGTGCACCTGGCCTGGCACTGGCGCCGTGGTGACGTCCCTGTCACTTAGTGGCGAATGCCGGGTATTGGTATTGGTTGGTGGCATTGATCGTGATGGTGCTGGTGGTATTGGTGCTGTTGATAGATATCCCGTTAACAGCTTTTTTCCCGTCATACGAAAGATGAGCTGAGATGCTGGTATCGGTGGTTGTGATAATGATGGAGGTGTGGATTGCTGCTGGTGCTTCTGTTGGAGGTGGTGCTTTTGCTGACAGTGCTCGTGGTGATTATGGTGGCTGTGGTGGTGGTGATGCTGATCAGAATATTTATCCTGGAGGAATCTGATGAGCTATAAAGCTCGTTTTCACAGACGGTCCAGTCGGGGCACGGGGTCAGAACGTTGCAACAACAAACACAATACACACAAACATGATAGTGCAAAGTATAGGATAAGTAAACAAATCACTTTTAAAAATATGTATCTTCCCAGGTAAAGCCCACTGAGCTATTACCTTATTTTTGAGAAGTGACCTGGCCACATATGATGGTGCTGGTGTTGATATTGGCGGTGCTGTTGATTAGTGGTTGGTGGTGCTCCATCATATAGTTTTTTTTGGGTTCGATCAAATAAATATAAATGTGTCGTTAAACCCGCCACCACCCAACACAGCCAATTAGTAAGGGTTGTCACGTAAACAGAACATGCCCATTCGTTACTAGTACAGCAGACCTGTGTTGGAGAGCAAATCTACAACATTTACGACGTTTCACCAGTAATTACAACTAACTGATGCTCGTGGTGTTCACTTTGTTGCTGGTGTTGATGCTAGCAGTGTTGATTCAGGTGACGGTGGTGGTTGTGTTTATGCTGCCACTGGTGTTAATGCTGGTGGTGTTCGCTTTGGTGTTGATGCTAGTGTTGTTGATTCTAGCTGCGGTGGTGGTTGTGTTGACGCCGGCGTTGACGCTGCTGCGAGTGGCGCTGGTGCCGATGTGCCCGGTGATGAAGCCGGTGTTGGGCGCTCAGACCATGCACAGGCTGAAGGGGCGCGGAGGCCGTGGGGTGCCCATGGAGGTTCCCATTTGGGATGAGCGCCAGGCCTACGAGGAACTTCTCTACTGGGAGGACCTCGTCCGGCGCGGGAAGCGACTGCGGCCCGACGACTTTAAACGGTAATGCCGTACCCCAGCCTTTTACTCTTCCCCCGGTCTTGTCCGTTACTTCATGGCCCAGTATGCATCTATGTATGTTGAACTTCTTTCGCATCTAAAGCTTTCGTGACTGCAAGGATTAATCTTCTTTGGTTCTTTCGGTAAAGTCACGTAGAATGAGAATAAAATGATAAAGTAAAAGAATAAAATTCTCACGACGTTTCGGCCGCAACACAAGTGGCCTTCTTCAGGTGAAAGGGACAGACCTGATGGGACGACAGAGCTTCAATGAAGCTCACCTGAAGAAGGCCACTTGTGTTGTGGCCGAAACGTCGTGAGAATTTTATTGTTTTATTTTGTTATTTTATTCTCATTCTACGTGACTTTACCAAAAGAACCAAAGCAGATTCTTTCGCATCGTACGTAGCCATCCATGCTAATCGGAGGTGCGGGGGGAGGTCAACAAACGAAACACAAAAAGCAGTTCGAAATAAGTGAGTTTTCTATCTAGATTTCAAAGTGCCCTGCACACAACCACCCACCCTCCACTTTGTGTGGTGCGGAATAAAGAGTCACTGTTTTTCACTGTTTTTTCACTGTACCTCTTTGGTTCTTTCGGTGAAGTCACGTAGATAGAAAATTAATAGATCACGATTGTCTTCAGGCGCCCTAGAACAGACGGTCGCTTGTGTTGCGATCGAAACGTCGTGATCTATTAATTTTCTACCTACGTGACTTTACCGAAAGAACCAAAGAGTATGGATCCCTGCAGTCACGAAAGCTTCAAATCAAGATTGCTTTTCACTGCTTTGACTATCCTCTCATTTCTACTTGGTTTGTCCTGTGCTGCTCTGGCATCATCTTTTCTTAGACAGTGAGGGGAAAAAGTATTTGTTCCCCTGCTGATGTTGTACGTTTGCCCACTGACAAAGAAATGATCAGTCTATAATTTTAATGGTAGGTTTATTTGAACAGTGAGAGACAGAATAACAACAACAAAATCCATAAAAACGCATGTAAAAAATGTTATAAATTCATTTGCATTTTAATGAGGGAAATAAGTATTTGACCCCCTCTCAGATTTCTGGCTCCCAGGTGTATTTTATACAGGTAACGAGCTGAGATTAGGAGCACACTCTTAAAGGGAGTGCTCCTAATCTCAGCTTGTTACCTATATAAAAGACACCTGTCCACAGAAGCAATCAATCAATCAGATTCCAAACTCTCCACCATGGCCAAGACCAAAGAGCTCTCCAAGGATGTCAGGGACAAGATTGTAGACCTACACAAGGCTGGAATGAGTTACAAGACCATTGCCAAGCAGCTTGGTGAGAAGGTGACAAGAGATGGTGTGATTATTCGCAAATGGAAGAAACACAAAAAACTGTCAATCTCCCTCGGCCTGGGGCTCCATGCAAGATCTCACCTCGTGGAGTTGCAATGATCATGAGAACGGTGAGGAATCAGCCCAGAACTACACGGGAGGATCTTGTCAATGATCTCAAGGCAGCTGGGACCATAGTCACCAAGAAAACAATTGGTAACACACTGCGCCGTGAAGGACTGAAATCCTGCAGCGCCCGCAAGGTCCCCCTGCTCAAGAAAGCACATTTCATGCCCGTCTGAAGTTTGCCAATGAACATTTGAATGATTCAAAGGACAACTGGGTGAAAGTGTTGTGGTCAGATGAGACCAAAATGGAGCTCTTTGACATCAACTGAACTCGCCGTGTTTGGAGGAGGAGGAATGCTGCCTATGACCCCAAGAACACCATCCCCACCGTCAAATATGGAGGTGGAAACATTATGCTTTGGGGGTGTTTTTCTGCTAAGGGGACAGGACAACTTCACCGCATCAAAGGGACTGATGGACGGGGCCATGTTACCATCAAATCTTGGGTGAGAACCTCCTTCCCTCAGCCAGGGCATTGAAAATGGGTCGTGGATGGGTATTCCAGCATGACAATGACCCAAAACACACGGCCAAGGCAACAAAGGAGTGGCTCAAGAAGAAGCACATTAAGGTCCTGGAGTGGCCTAGCCAGTCTCCAGACCTTAATCCCATAGAAAATCTGTGGAGGGAGCTGAAGGTTCGAGTTGCCACACGTCAGCCTCAAAACCTTAATGACTGGGAGAAGATCTGCAAAGAGTGGGACAACATCCCTCCTGAGATGTGTGCAAACCTGGTGGCCAACTACAAGAAACGTCTGACATCTGTGATTACCAACAAGGGTTTTGCCACCAAGTGCTAAGTCATGTTTTGCAGAGGGGTCAAATACTTATTTCCCTCATTAAAATGCAAATCAATTTATAACATTTTTGACATGCGTTTTTCTGGATTTTTGTTGTTATTCTGTCTCTCACTGTTCAAATAAAACTACCGTTAAAATTATAGACTGATCATTTATTTGTCAGTGGGCAAATGTACAAAATCAGCAGGGGATCAAATACTTTTTTTCCCTCACTGTATTTATGTAGAGCGCCTGAGCTCAAGGCACTCTTGAATAGATTTTTTTTAAAGCAGTACAAAAGTCGAGTGACCTTTGTTTAATGGCAAGGTACAGTGCATAGGTTGAGGAATGACTGACCGTAACAGAGGTCACATGGGGGTCACAAAAGGGCATGGCAGTGATGGGACGGAGTGGACAGGTGAAGGGAGAGAAGGGGAAGGGAATGCACAGTGGAGAAGATGTGAAGCCTAAAGAGAGGGACGAATTGAGGTTATAAGGAGAGAGGACTGATATATATTCTTGGTTCTTTCGGTAAAGTCACGTAGAAGGGAAACAATAAAATAATAAAAATATAAAACAATAAAATTCTCACGACGTTTCGACTGCAACACAAGCAATCATCATCAGGTGTGAAAACCATAGCAAGAAAATGTATTGTTTCCCTTCTACGTGACTTTACCGAAAGAACCAAGAATATGAATCCCTGCAATCACGAAAGCTTTAAATCGAGAGAGTACTGCTTCATGTACAGGGGAAGTTTATCCCAGTGGAAGGAGTTAGAGATCATGAACTGGATTGTGCACAGGGAGGAAGAGGAATAGATAGAGAGAGACGGAGAGAGATTGTGAATAAAGAGCATGAACGGGGATGTTTAAAGAGATGAGAGAGGCAAGACGAGGTGAGGAAAGGCTGGCATCAGCTTCGTCGCCATGTTAACTACCTCTCCTGGTATACAGGAGGTCATGAGTTCCATCCCGACCCTGACGCCTGCTGTATAATTGGAGTTTGCGTCTCTCTCTCATCATCCTCATCAAGGTGGTTATGAGATGTCTTGGAGTTTGCATGTTCTCCCTGTGGCCATGTGGATTTTTCTCCGGCTCTTCCGGTTTTACTCTCATTTAGAATCAACATCACGCGTTTAGAGTATTCGGCTACTATAAATGTCCACATGATAAGCTACTTCGTTGAGCTATCATTTGTGATGGCCAGGTCGCTTTAAAAAAAAAGATCGATATAGCCCATTAGTTTTTACCTGTTAAATAAATAGTTTAGTTTAGCCTACGGACGAACACAGACGGACAGACTTACAGGCTAGAGCTTATTTACACACATTTTCAACCTTAGCTTGAAAGTATTTAAACTACCTACTAATATTCTTGGTTCTTTCGGTAAAGTCACATATAAGGGAAACAATAAAATAATAATAAAATTATACGTGACTTTACCGAAAGAACCAATTATATGAATCCCTGCGGTCACGAAAGCTTTAAATCAAAACTACCTATTAAATTAACACTGCCCCACACTCGCCCCACCCCCCCCCCCCGCCCCATTGCTACCCAACAGCTACGAGGACCTGAGCTTCTGGTACGAGCGCTACTGCTTCGAGGAGGACATGCGTTACCAGGAGGACATGCGCGCCTACGAGGCGGAAATGCGCTACTGGGAGGAGTACCAGCGCTACGAGGAGGAGCTGCGCCATTACGAGTACCTGTCGGCGCAGGAACGCTCCGACCAGGCCGTGCGCAAGCCTAAGCTGCCCTCTACGCCCGGCCCGGTACCAACGCTCGCCCGCTCACTCGCTCGTTCACCTGCTAGCCCACTGGGTTATTCACTCGCTGGCTCGCTGGCTAATCTGCTGCATCACTCACTCGCTGGCTAGTTCCCTGGCTAACTTACTTGCTGGCACGCTCACTGGCTCGCTCACTGGCTCGCTCACCGGATAGCCCACTGGGTCATTTGCTCGCTGGCTAGCCCACAGCGTCACTCACTCGCTGGCTAGTTCCCTGGCTAATTCACTTGCTGACTTTGCGGATTGCTCACTGGCTCGCTCACCGGATAGCCCACTGGGTCATTTGCTCGCTGGCTAGCCCACAGCGTCACTCACTCGCTGGCTAGTTCCCTGGCTAATTCACTTGCTGACTCGCCGGATTGCTCACTGGCTCGCTCACCGGATAGCCCACTGGGTCATTTGCTCGCTGGCTAGCCCACAGCGTCACTCACTCGCTGGCTAGTTCCCTGGCTAATTCACTTGCTGACTCGTCGGATTGCTCACTGGCTCGCTCACCGGATAGCCCACTGGGTCATTTGCTCGCTGGCTAGCCCACAGCGTCACTCACTCGCTGGCTAGTTCCCTGGCTGATTCACTTGCTGACTTGGCGGATTGCTCACTGGCTCGCTCACTCACGAGCTACCTGCACAGGTCGTTTGCTCACACACTCGCTCGGTCACCCGCTGTCTTCATGCTGACTTGCTCAAGAGTTGCATGTATGCTTGCCCACAAGCAAATAGATTAAATGTGTACAGTAACGCAGGGCGTTCCACTGTATTTGTAAAACAACGCAGACAGTGCCAGCATCATTGTCACCACCTCCAGCCATGATCTATCCACGACACAATTCGGGGAAGAATATGGGTAGTTGTGCGAGCGAGTGAGTGAGTGCGTGAGTGAGCAAGCACATAGACGGCTCGTGAATAAGTGAGCAGGTGAGCGAGCGAGTGAACATGTGTTCAGGGAGTGAGCGAGTGGCTAGGTGACTGAGCAAGCAAGTGAACATGTCAGCATCGGGTGGCTGACTGAGTGAGTGAGTGACCGGGTTAGTGAGTGAACGAGTAAGCGAGTGACACGAAGATCGCCCCACTTTCAAAATCTGTAATGCTCTCTCCCCCCGCACCACCACCCACTCCTCTGTCTCCGTCTCTCTGCCACCCTCGCCCCCATCCCCGTGCTTTTGCCCCTTGCTCTCCTGCCCCCCCCGCCGTGGTGGCGGTGGCTGTCACGCTGAAGGCCCAGCGGCCCACGTGCCACTCGGAGTACGAGCGCCACGTGCTGGCCAAGCACACGGCCATCTACCCCACGCAGGCCGAGCTAGAGGCTGTGCAGACCCTGGTCACCGTCACCGAGAAGGCTCTCAAGCTCCTGTCGGATGATTTGGATACCGGCATCGGGGCTGCTGGGGCTGCTGTAGCTGCGTCCGCTGCTGCTACTCCTGGAGCCGCCTCTGCTGGGTATTTTTTTATACTTTCTGAAAATGAAACTTTTTTTTTCAACCCAGGAAAGCCTCAAGGCTCTGTCAGGATAGTCTTGCGGCTCCCTAGATTGAAAGCTAATTTCTTTAGAACTGCTTATTGTATTTAGTTTGTTGTCCTTCCCCCACACCTCTGATTAGCATGGATGGCTACGTACGGTGAGAAAGGAGTTCAACATACATACAGGATTGGGATGTTTGGCCCCACACCGATTGCATTCTATACTTTATTTATTTTTAGCTATGGGGAAACCGGAGAACCCAGAGAGAACCCAGAGAGAACCCATACACAACAAGGGGGGAAACATACAAACGCCACACAGAAATCCACATGAACCCGGGCCCCTTCTTCCTGTGAGGCATGAGTGGTACCGTTGTGCCACCCCGGTGTGTGGTTTCAGGGCTGCTGCTGTTGCCGTTGGTGCTGGCGCTGGGGCTGGTAGCGCCGGCGGTGGCGCTGGCGGTGCGGTAGACCCCGCGGACCGCACCCTGCGTGGCGTGATGCGCGCTGGTCCGGTTGCCAAGGGGCTGCTGCTCAAGGGAGACCTGGAGCTGGCGCTGGTGCTCATCTGTAAGGACAAGCCGACCAAGACGCTGCTGGGGCGCATCGTGCAACTTCTGCCCAAGCACCTCAAGGTTCCACTCGATAAGGGGGAGGATGGGAGGGGCATGTTCATAAAAACGTGCGTTATGGAGTATTTGGCTGCTATTAATTTCCACGTCGATGATAAGGCAGCTCGTTATCATTTGTGTCCAGGTCGCTTCTGAAAAAAGACGCATAGCTCAGTGGGCCTCACCTGGTAAAAGACAAAATAGTTAATAGTTTAAAATAGTTTTAGCCCTACTCTTTGGTTCTTTCGGTAAAGTCACGTAGTTAGAAATGAAATAAAATAAAACAAATCACGACGTTAGTATGTGCTGATCGTCCACCACACACGCGTCCTGTCAACAGACTTAACAAGCGGTGTAGCCCACTCGTAGTTACGGGACTGGGTTTAAGAAACTTGTACCGTCCGTTTGAACTGCCGTCCCAGGAGATGGAGTCGAACTTGGATTGCGAGTCCAGTGTGATGAGTCCATGACACCCACGGCAGCATCACATCTTATATCTTTTCCAGATTCGTAATGGCTGGCTCAGTGACACGCATACACTTTTTCCACTGGCGTATCCGAACCGAGCCAGCACACGTGGTACAGTTGGGTTTCTACTGGCACTTAGCCGCGCGGAGCTTGAACCAAGCCGTGATGCGTTGGCCTCGCTTGGACGTCTCGATCTTACTCGGGGCCAAGCAGTGTCAGGGGAGGGACCACCTCAGTCAATCGTCACGCGTGCGACGTCGTCGTTACGCCGTGAGGGACGCGGCGCCGTCCACTGCGTCGCCTGCGACGCATCCCGACTCTGCTCCCTGCGCGTGTCGTCGGCGGCACGGCTCGGCTTCTCGCAGTCGAAAAACAACCTGGGGGCCACTCTGGCCTGGCCTTGGCGTGTTGAAAAATTGGTGCAAGCCTCTGTCCACCCACGAGTATTAATTGGTTCATCACAGTGAAGTCCGTTGGCAGATCGCGCATGCGGTGGGTTTTAAGTGTGGATCCTCCCACCTCTTTTCCGAGACATCCGGCCGGACAGCGTGGAAGAGTAGGCCAACAACGCCCTCCTTAAGAGGTGCTCTCTCTTGGCAATGCCTCAACGGGCCGTCCCTTCCGCCAGCGGTGGCGCGGTGGGGTTGGGGGGGCTGCACTCTCTGACCTTTGTAAACGGCGCTCGCGTCCCTGCAGACAGTGCGCGCCCAGGCGGTGGCCGAGAGCAAGGAGTCGTTCGGGGTGGAGAACAAAGCCAAAGACGCAGCCCTGCTGGTCCATTGGAACCGACCGGGGGCACCGACCCTCACCATCACCGTCACGCTCACCTGCCCCCTCATCCGCGAGGAGGCCGATCGCAAAGCCGAGGCTGACAAGAAGGCCGCCGCTGCCGCCGCCATCGCCGTTGCAGCTCCCGCCGGCGCACTTGCCGCTGCCATCACCCCGACAGTCGGTGCGAAAGGTGCCCCTAAAACGGCTGTCAAGACGACCGAGTCAGCAATCCCGCCAGCGGCGGTGAAAAGTGAAAAAGGTAGTGTGAGAGCGGACGACGGTTGCGCCGGTCGTGTTGGCGGTTTCCGTGGTGTCAAGTGGTGCTGTGTGATTGCAGTTTGTTGGTTACACGCCATCAGTATTATGTACGTCTTTATAAGGGACGGCAGACCCAACAAAGTGCTAGAGAATGCAAAATGTAGCCCGATTTTCACCCAGGCAACAGGAGATCAGCACATACTAAGTGTTTCTGACAAAACAAATATATACTAATTTGCTTAAAATGTAATTAGTGTAAACGCAGTGTTAACGTACACCGCCCCGATGCTTGTATTGTCGCTGTTGACGTTACCTAACCCTGAACCTTTTCCCAGTCTTCGCCATCAAGAGAAGAAAAACTTTGTAGATCCTTCCGACAGATTATAAACAAGCGCCACCCTCTGCATAATAAAACAACATTTAGCTTGTGCAGTAAAAAGAAAACGCTTACAGACCACAAACAACTCACGTGGCAGAGAACAAATTGCAGTCACTTCCCCATGCAGCACGCAGCATCGCCATATACCCGCCCGCCCACGACCGCGTTTGTTGATTAATCCATCCGTCTACTCCACAACGGCTTCCCCTCTTGACACCGATCGCCGCGACTCCGGAATCCTCCACTCTGTCCCCCGTTTCGGGCAGTTCTAATCGGATCCCCAAACTGCAGGGGACGAGAGGCTTATCCGGTCCACGACTTTATTCCGCACGGCTCTCTGCGGCCACACGACGCCTGCAGCTCTCCAAAAACGGCTTTTCAAATATTATAACACCTCGCCTACGAGCATCCTGACCGCACGAATCGGGCGCTAGACATGGGGGAATACTTGGAACTTGCGTTTCTAGTCGTGGTGCGTGCTGTTGCTCCTGCCACGTCCGTCGTCGACATCGTGAGTGCTTTCATTGCAGAGGTTGCAGTTGGCTAGTTCGTGATAGCTGCAGCCAACGTGGATTCGAGACGCATCGCTTAACAGCACTATCTATTTTTTTCCTCACACGTGCGTGTGTGTGTGTGTATATATCAATTCTCTCTGAATCGAATTGTGACCCCGAATCGTGGCATGAGGAACACGGACCGACCCGTCGATTCAAATCGCCCTTTTATCACTCGCTCCCCCGACTCGGAGCGTCCCCGACACGGGGCTCCGTTGCCGTAGCTTCCCCTCCGTAGCAGCCCCTCGTTCGGCACGGAGCGTGACGAACCGGCCTGGTGCGACCGTCAATAATAAACCCCCGGTCGGCTGTCCCGTGCGTTTCCATGCTATGCTGCCGCGCATTCTTCGACATGATGTTTCCCGACTCTTTTCGCTTTCCGCGTTACGGCAGCTTCCTCGGATGGAACGCCTGAATTTGTTCACCGGGATCCTGCGTAAGCATTGCCAGCCGCTGCTCGAGCCTGTTGTAGGTCGACCGGTGTTGGTTATTTGCTTCGTTCGGGACGAAAAAAATCGGGTGTAGCCAGAGGAAAGCTTGTCACTCGTGCATGCGAGGGGGAAACGGGAGCAGCCATAGAAAGCTCCATCACCTTGCCGAACAATGACGCGGTTCAACCCGCAAGCGCACGGGAGAGTTGTGTGCGGCACAACTGCGGAAACAAAAACCTCAGCAAGTGGCGGAAACGTGACACCGATATGGTTTACGTCCCCAAAAAAATGTCGCAAATAATGTTAGCAATAATAACACCGCCTTGGAGAGGTCGTTTTATTTCCTTTGAAACGTTTGCGTTGAAACGATCGCACCAGGTCTGATTCATTGTTCTTTTCGTGTCGAAGAGGGGCCGCAGTTGCCGGAGGGAACGTGGTGATGGCGCCAAAGCAAATCGCACGTCTTGAAACTGATTTGGCTGTAAGTGTCGGAAAACGAACAAAAATCTGCGGCCGAGTCACTTTCGTCTGTAATTTTTTTTGCCGCTGAAAATGTTATTTTCGCAGATTTTTCGTTTTCAAAAGCCATGCAAATTATCCGATTGCCGCACAGCGTATAATCACACTGCCATACCCGCAATTCCCTACGCCTCCCGGTGTTCCCAAAGGTGAATGTAAGCTGCATGGGGATACTGCAACACATTCTCGGTTACAATTATAGGTTGTTATAACGGAGGCGATGGCGAGAGAATGAGTACACCTTCGGCAAGCGGCATTCTGCGTGCCAGCCTGTGTCAGACCGGCCGTCCGGTGGGAAGAGAAACAATAACCCAAGCCAGCGGAAACAAAATAATTTTAGCGAAACAAATGTCCATCACCGTTGCCGTCATTGTCATTCCTACCCCGAGTATTGCCTTGCAGACGCTTTGAGCCCAGATGCTTCACGCAATAATACTGAATTCATTAGCTGATTGCGGGGCTCTTTAACCGACGGACCGCCTTGGTCGTGGCCCGTCGAGCTATGGGCCGCTCGCGCTTTCTTTTCCACTGCACAACCGAGCCACGCCTGGAGGCGTTGCCGAGCCAGCTTGGCGCGGCTCGGGTCGTTTTTTTTCCACTGCGGAATCTCAAGCCGTGCCACCAACGACCTCGCCGTTCCCTCCCCCCCCGAGCCAGAATCGGACGTCCCCTCGAGGCCAGCGTAGCACGGTTTGCTTCCGGCTCTGCACGGAAATCAGCCAGTGGAAAAACCACCTGTACCGTGAGGGCCCCAAGCTGGCTCGGCTCAGATGTAGCAGTGGAAAATGGGGTACAAGTGGCCATGGTTTGCCGAGACGTAAAGAGGTACACATTCGTGAAATCAAACCGCGATGGACGAGAGAGAGAGCTATCGGTAGATGAGGGGCGGATTGGCGTTTGTGTGTACAGACTTTATCACTGTGACGCTGTTCGACATAAAGGGCGGTGGGGTGGCACACAGCGGAAACGCTGGTGCCCCACATTTAGTGGAACTGGGGTTTGATTCCCGACTCGGCCACCCTTCTGTGGGGAGTTGTGTGCATCCTCTCTCCCCCTGTTCTGCATGGGTTTCCTCCGGATTTTCTGTTTTTCTCCCGTAGCTTAAAGAAACGTACTCTGTAAACGGCTATTGACCAAAACAACCCAGTGCTGATTGATAATTTGGATGCAAATTAACTCATTTGGGGTTGCAACATCGGCCCACGATTGAACTCGGCAGGATCTTCCAGGAAAGTGAGTCTTGAGATTCGGTGAGACTTTCTTGGGTTAAACAAGCGCCGGTGGTAATGTCTGTACACTAGACCCATGACATCACTCACGTGGCCCGCCAACTGACGCTATAGGAATTGCTGTGGTCTTCCGTAACGTACAGTCGGAAGAAACCTTTTGCTCATTTGGGTGGAGCCGGTGAGGAAGGGGATGTACACCGGATTAATTGGCTTGGAAGGTCCCTCCGCCCCGTCGTGCCAGTCTGGTGCAGAGCAATAATTAGTCGTGATGGCGACGGCAACGTGACCACATTTGCATCGCAAGATCAAAGGGACGAACGTGTTCACCGAAAGGGTCCAGAGACCGTACGATCTTTTGGAAGGCAAGACCCTCGTGGTTTTTTCTCATCTTATTTTCTTATATATATTTGTATAGCGCTTTATTCCAAGGCGCTTTACAGCAATTCTAAAGTTGTAAATACCATGAGAGTGGTGTAGATAATAAAGGGTGTTATTGAAAGTGGTGGTGTAGTTGTGGTGACGGTGAGGAGAAGAAGCGGGAAAAGTTAAGGAGGTTGCGGTCGACCTGCCCTTTGCTGGGGATCGGGGCCAGCGAGCAGCGGTTGGCGGTAGCGATAGGGGTACCGATAGGAATAGTGGTAGTGATGAAGGTAGGGGTATTGATAAGGATAGTGATCACGGTTGGGTTACTGATGGTAATAGGGGTGGTGATAAAGGTAGGGGTAGTGATAGGGGTTTAGGTTGGGGTAGGGATGAGGGTTGGGGTAGGCCTGGTCGTAGCTGGGGTGCCGGGGCAGGGAGAGTAGCATTAGCAGCAGGACGATGATGGTTGTTCTCAGGGAGGAATGAAAGCAGCAGGTTTCCATAGTGAAGATGGTTGTTTTATGCCACGTTCTCATTGGCAGCTTGCGCGACGCAACCAGCTCGGAGAACGGTTTTAGTTGACCTTGCCATTCATCAGCAAGTCGTAGCCGGTTCCCGCAGTCGCCATCGGGGGTAAACATGTAGACCGCCGAGGCTCGATTAGAAGTCGAAGGTCGAACGTTCTCTCATTTCGGTGAACGCGTTTCCCCTCCGTCAAATGCGGACAAACACGCACCACAAAAAAACAATCAAATTATCTTCCACTTGGTGGAAACGATTGCCGGGACAAGTGCTGTTTCGCGAGCACTTATTAAGACCGACGCAGCACACAAGGGGATGGTGTGGCCACCGCCGCGCCTGGTCCGTCTTTGTTTCCCCAACGTTAATTCTACATGTGGGTAAAACCGCCCGGTTCATTCGACTTGAGGGAGGCCCAAGACGGGTTCAGAAGTTGCCACCGTTGTTGGTTGCGAATTGAACTACAGTCGCCATGTTCGTCGTGAGTGCTGCGCCACCGCTGTTGAACCCTGGGTTCGCTCGTTTATCCTACACAGGCCGTTGGGGCAAGTGCTGCTAGTGAGCACATCCTGTGAGTGAGGTACATGCTGTTAGTGAAAACATATGCCAGGAGTGTGCTGCACTGCACTGCATTCAACACCGACCCCCTCCGCAGAATGGCGCTACTCATGCTCCTCTCGCCCGAGCACATCACCTCACCCTTTGCCTCACCATCCACTCTCCTGCCCGCCGCCTTACTCGTCCACTCGCCCACACATCTGACCAGCCACGTTGACTCACCCCACCTGCCTACCCACTCTCTCTAACTCACCCAACCAGTCGCCCACCCACCCACATACTCACCCGTTCGACGACTCAACCCAGTCACTCACCGACTGACCTACATTACAAACCCACCAATTCGCTCATTCATACACTGTCGTCCCACTAAGTCATCCACCCACCACCACCAAGCCATCTACCCCACCCACCCAACCGACCGTCCCACCCCTCTTCAACAAGCGAGCAGCGGTGACGTCTCTTCCCCCTTATCGCCACCTAGAGCTGACGGCGCCCACTCCAGACGGGCCGGACGCGCTGGACAGGCAGAAATGCCTTGACGCGTTGGCGTCCCTGCGACACGCCAAGTGGTTTCAGGTTGGGTTTTGTCCCCCCCTTTGTACCCCCCGCTCCCCCGCCCGCCCCCCCTCCCCGTCACCCCATTACCCCGTTAACCGCGCGTGGAGTTATTGTGTACACACACGCACGCATGCACGCATGTGCCCCTTCCGTCCACAACTGGCGGACGGGTTGTGGGGAGCTATTTGTTATGGCTGGTCACTGGCGTGTACCCCCTCTCCCTGCTGCATGGGGAGTACGGGCTACAGCTTGTGACCGCTAGTTCACTCTCACCAGGGTCAACCCCCGGAGCCAATGCTGCCCCGACTGCGCTGTGGTCGCTAGCTTAACGGACGATGCGATGCGACAAAACGACCGAGCGGTGCTCTACCTGCAGATACGTCCCTGTGCCACGTGCCGCAGGCTCCGATACGAGTTTGAGGCTTCGTTAAATTCTATGAGTAAAAACAAAAAAAATACTTGAAAATTAGGGGAGTCGTGTGCTGCCCGCCATGGTGAATTGGCATGGTGCAAAGTTGTGAGAATGGCGTCACGGGGGCTGACGTCACCGGAGCGCCAGGATGTATGGTGCTCTGGTGAACGTGAAGTCCTCTTTTGCTCATTTAATGAAGATTCAAACTCGTGTTTGGCCAGCCCAGTCCACACGGCCTAGGCGCGCATATCTGCAAGGTAGGAGCTGCTTGGGTGTTTTTTTTATCCGTCGCGTCCAACTTTGCACGTTGGGCCCGCTTGGTGCCATGATCGCGATTCCCGGATCGGTCGAAAGGGTCATCAGTGGGATGCCCAGTTGAAGGTGGGGGGGGAATGGATGAACTTGACCGATCACCATCGTACCTCCCGGTGTTGATAAAACGGGTACCGATTTGTGGGAAATCCTGCAGAGAGAGAGACACGTGGGTCGTTGCCCCGTTGTAGAGCCAGCAAAAGAATTTTCACTGCTGGTTCCCAAACGGTTGCCCAATAGCCCTCGGGGGGGTGGGGGGTGGGGGGTGATGGGAGTTGAGGAAAGATCAGGGAGGGTTCAGACTTGTGTCAACAAAACCCTCACCTCCCCTCCCTCCTCCCACCACCACCACTATCGTGTAGGCCGCTCAGCACCGCATTTGATACCAGGGTAATTGGTAAATGGCATCGGCATTGCTTGTGGGGGTGACCTTGATGTGTAGGGGGGGGGGGGACCGTGCGCTGATACATTTTGCTGTCCGATTGGAACCGTTGTGAAGAAAAGTTATATTTATTTCCACACCGGTTTGCCGACGATGTTAAACAACGTGATGTAAGAATTTATAGTCGCACTCGGATGACGACAAGATGTGCTCGCTGAAATAATAATTTGGAACCGCTTATTTTGAGTAAAAGTTTTCGTAAAGATAACAATTAAAATAACTGCCTGCCGATATGGAGTTGCAAGCAGGATAATTGTATTAAGTAAGTCGTTTATTTATGATTTATTTAATATAATTATTATACCAAATAAAATATTTATCCCCGCACTGGATGTCAAATCTATTCCCGCTTAAGAGGACTTTCCTTGGTTTATTGCATGCTCGGTCACATTGGGCCAATTTGGACCAATCGGATAGTTTGTGGGAACACCAAAGTTTCCACAATTTCACTGGACGTATGAACGTAATGCTCTCGTTGGCCCAGAGGCATCGCAGTTTCCCGAATTCTCTTCCGATCTGCGGCTTGACTTCTGTGCGCCTATGGGCGTCCAATCGGACTACGATGGGGCCACAAACTTTAATTTGGAATTCAAAAACACAAGGGGTAGACTTCTTCGGTTGCGCTGCTGCTCTGTAGCTCTCCGACGCGCGTTGTGTGAGTCTTGCCTTGCGTAGTTTTGTGCGCCGTCCCGACGTTTCGCCACCCCCCCCCCCCAGACACGTGCTCACGACATCTTCAGGAACTCCCCCAGTACGGGCAGACCTCGCCGAGTGCCACCCCCCCCATTCCAAACGTCGATTCTGTGAGTGCTCGCTTCCTCCCAGGAAGGAATGCATCTTTGAGCACCGATCGAGGTCTGCCCGTATTCGGCCGCACGTTGATATTTTGGTTTTCCTGGCCGGTGGGGCGGAACGTCGGACTTCGTGCCGAACAAACGCACGGTACAGCCCCGTAACAGCATCGGAGGGCTAGAGTGCCAGAGTCTGCGTTGGGTCCATAACTTCACCCCAGAACCTTCACCTCTGAGTCCCCGCCACCTCTCACATCCTCCAAAAATCGAAGCTGCCCATTCCACGATCACCCTCTGCGGCACGGCGAGTGCTTGGGCCCGGTTTTGGCGGAGGCTGTGTCCCAGGGGCGTGGCTCAGCTGTGGAGGTTGTTGGCATGAAATTAGTTGAGTGGCGAGTGCAGGGTTTTGTATATTTTTGCGCACCGTTCGTTTGTTGAGTTTCGTAAAGGAATTGGGAAGCACTTCCCCCCCCCACCCCCCCCGTCCGTCTCTTGTGTAGGAATTCGTTCAACGTTATGATGACAACCCACGGTTTAAATTGCTTGTGACGATGCCTGTACGCTACACGGTGACTCCACGCGCATGATGTTGTCCCTTTCGTATCCTTGCGGAACTGACGTGTGTACCAATATTTCATCTTTACCAAGCGGTGATTGCCGTCAGGTGGCATTAGAAGCCTCATTGCAGCTCGAAAGCAGTGTTAATTTGGCAAACAATTAGCAAAGGAAATATTTGTCAATGAAGTGTTTTTGTTTCGTCAACGATGACTTATGATTGAACAAAACTCGTAAAGTGTGACGATGTCAGCACCTACTACTGACCACGATCATCACTAATACTACAACGCAACATCATAACTGCTACCACTACTGTCATCACTACTAGTACCCATCATCACTACTACCACCACCATCGTCAGTAATACTGTCATTGTGAACACCACCACCATCACTACTACCACGACCATCATCATCCCTACTATTACCACCACCATCTACCCACCAAGTCCAAGCCGTGAGACTGACTGTGACGAGACGTAATTAGTTTGAATGAAGATGCAGACTGAGATAATTTGACAACATTACTGAGACTGAAGTGAACTGAAGGCAGACCAAGCATGGTAATTGGCTGTGTGTGTGTATATAGATACATATTTAGCCAGCTCACTGATTGGCTGAGATGATAATATTGGGGGAGAAATGGTGTACCCTTCGCACCAACATTTAACAAGCATCAGTGACTTAATGTTTGCTTTAGTTAGTGAGGCTAGACTAAGAATAACTTCATGAAATCCACAGATAGGTTGTCGTCGACCAGACTAAGAATGTGACTAAAATAAGAAATGCCAAGTTAATTTAACTGTGTTTAATAAGCCTGCGATGTCCAGTTTTTTTAAGATGCAGAAAGTTTACCATTACGGAAATTGGCCAAACATCTCAGTGTAGGACTCTCCCAAATAACCTGCAGTTTACTCGGTTGGGAAAACAATTAAAATTAGCAAGGTCACCCTCTGGTGACAGTGGCCCATTGAGCTTCAGTGTAGCCGAACCCTCCTGGAAGAGAGTCCAGATACTCCCGGGAGGCTTCCGTGTAGCCGAACCCTCCTGGAAGAGAGTCCAGATACTCCCGTGAGGCTTCCGTGTAGCCGGACCCTCCTGGAAGAGAGTCTAGAGACTCCCGGGAGGCTTCAGTGTAGCCGAACCCTCCTGGAAGAGAGTCCAGATACTCCCGTGAGGCTTCAGTGTAGCTGGACCCTCCTGGAAGAGAGTTGAGAGACTCCTTTCCATCAGTAAATGAATAACAATTTAATTTACTTAAATAGGGAGAATAAAATTCTGGCATTGAGTCACAAAAGGCAGAGTGTCACGTTGGCAGTGATGTTATGCAACATTTTTATTTTATGTATGTATTTTTAAATTCTTTTGCACCATATATAGTGCTAATTGGAGGTGCAGGGGAAGGACAACAAACTAAACACAATAAGCAGTTCTAAAGAAATTCGTTTCAATCTAGTATATTGGCTCGTTTTAGTCGTCTTGCCAAAAACTTTACCGGGTGACAAGAAATGGCTCCGCAGTTTGAAAACTAAAGCTCTGAATTTGGAAAGTCAAAGCGTTTTTTTAAAGAAGAAAATAAATCTATCTGTACAAGCCGGTCGTTTCAACTCACAACTCATATTTGGCTAACGCAGTTATCCTTCCTTCAGACCCTACTGATTTATCGCTCATCTCAGTCCAGCACGAATTTTGCTTGACAGACCTTGACCGAGTTGCTCCGTAGGTCGTTATGTCTCCCACCGAGCGATTTAAAATGTTCAGCTTTGACAGCGGCTTTCGTTCCGTGGAGGTGGGATCGTTGCGCCTCTGATTATTAAAATCGACAGCCGGCAATTCTCTCGTGAACCCCATAAATAGTACAGCGGTGTGGAGAATGTAATAAAAAAACGACTCGCTTGAGTTGAGTAACAGAAATTGGTTATCTCCGCACGGCTATCCGCTTGCGATGTCCGTCAATGCAAGAGTTTGTTGGTAGGCTAAACGAACTGAACATTTACACCTGAAAGGTCACCGTGATTGTCTTTTGCTCGCGAAAAGGAACAAAATAATGAAACGTGCCGACTTGGATGAACGCAAAAAATTCTAAGAGGTGTTTCTTTTCCCCCCCCCCCCTTGTTTTAATCGGTGAAAACAGAACTAAATAACATGCCGGCTTTTCGCGACCGAAGTGATATTGACGGAACGTGTTTGTCAAAATCTACAGGCCACCTCTTGCATCGACGATGGCTCCGCAAAATAATCGCTCTTCACGGATTCGGCGGCCAAAATGACGCTTAGCTCAATTTTAACTTCGATGGGTATCTGAAATTCTTGCATCGCATATCGAGCACAGATCGCAAAATACTGAGCGTGGGCTAAACTGCTGAAGGTTTCACGCCTTTTTTTGAGAGTCTAAAACTGAAGAGTGACGAGCGGTCATTAATGTGGTGTTTTGGCTGAAGGCTTCCGAGGTGCCCCGTGCACTTTTTAATGGCGCTCAACTCCGGCAATTCACTCGTGAACCCAGCGGGGGGCACCACCTTTCGTCGAAAACAAAACCACAACTGCGTCACCTCACCTGATGGCATGGACCTGCCACTCGCCCCCCCCCTCCCCTACAACGCCTGTCTCGGTCGTGTCCAGCTCCTCTCACCTCTTATTGCCCTGTGACCAAGAAGAGGCGGAGGTGTAAAACTGGCGCGGTTCGTCCCGGGCGTGCCACGGTGTCTCCTGGTTCGCAGGCAGAGGGAATTTGCCCTGCCGCCCCCAATTTGCACGGCAAAACTGGATCATGTGACCCCCCCCCCCATCTCCCCCCCACAATATTTTTCCGAGCCACGAATCGGTGGTGCTGATTTGCTTGGACCGGTGGGGGGTGGTGGGGGGGGGGGGGGCGATTTCTACCCAACGATCTTGAAGGCGACGAATCGCGCCGACGCCACATTGCATTGTGGGCTTTTTCTCAATCTCTGTGGCAGTGAGTCTACTGGTTTTTACCGTTGGTTGCCACGGTTTAAATCATAGGCTCCCAAACTGGGGGACGAATAAACAAAAACTCCCAAGCACTTTCGTCAACAACAACAATGCCAAGGGGCAGTGCCGACGGTAACGTGGGGCGGTGTTGATTGATGAACGTGCAGAGCTTTGGTTATTTGCGCTTGCGCGCCATCGCAGCGTCGCTAGAAAGAATAGTTGAGCTCGAAAACTGGGGAGCTGCGGCTCCCCATTGAGAGCAGACGTCGAGTCCCATTATTTGTTCAAGGTGTCCCCTCGGTCCAAACGGGGCTGAGAAGCTCTCCGTTGTGCATTCGGCTTGCGCCGCCGAATGGCTTTTCGGGCACACGGATGTGCGGCGTTTCGCCCCCACGTGCCGGGAGCTTTCTTCCGAAACAGATGCTGTTGCCGGTTCTCCAAGCCGATTGTCTCTGGGAGAGGGGGGGGTGGGTCTTTTGACGTAGGCTGACCCACAGCGATGGCGACGACCGCAGCAGCAGCAGGGCCGGCAGGCGGTGCCGTATAATCGAGGGAGAAAGCGAGCCGCCCCATTCAGTTCCTGAAGGAGCGGCTATCGCCACGTGGGGCTGAAACGTCAGGAGCTGCTATCGCCCACGCGGTGGCGGCGTCGGTGGGCGCAACCCGAAAAGCGCGGCGGAGAGCCGTGCAGCGGCACAGCCGTGAACAAAGGAAACGCCACGCAGTGCTTGAGGAGGTCGAGGAGGAGCAGAGGGTGAAGCCGCTGCGCGAATACTTGGTGCACGGCACGAGTGTGGACACAGTCGGATGGCTGCTTTGGAAAAATGGCAGGCAGAACCTGGGGGAAGTTTCCCCTACCCTCGAGGCCAGACATCTCCATCCCATGTCGCTCGAAAGAGTCTTGGCCAGGATGAGCCACAGCAGTTGGATTGGGCGTTTCGATTTCCTTACTGCCCGAGGGGGGCGGGGGGGGGGGGGGGGGGGTGGGGGGGGCGGCGGGGCTGGGAGGTTCGCTAATGGCAGGAAAAGTTTGGATTAATTTAGCGGACGAAACAACTTCAAGCAAAAACCTTGGAGAAGTCGCCCCTCTGGTCCAAGTGCCGTTCTTCCGGGTCGGGCCGCATGCTGAGCATTATTTCCTCTGACGCTTCACGCCATGTACCACTTCCCAGCAGTCATCTCGAGGAGTTGCAGTGACAATCGGGGGTTTGGGGGTATGTGCTTCACGAAGTCGAGTCATTAGCACGTTAGGTTCTAGATTTGAAGCTTTCGTGACTGCAAGGATCCATACTCTTTGGTTCTATTCGGTAAAGTCGGTAAAGTCACGAGGCAGTCTGGTCCCTTCACCTGATGAAGGCCGCTTGTGTTGTGGCCGAAACGTCCGTGGTTTTTGTTGTTTTTTTCACCTACGTGACTTTACCGAATAGAACCAAAGAGTAAGCACGTTAGGTGTTCGCGGTGTTCTTCACGGCGCTCGAGGCTTTCGTGAAGGGTAGCAGTGACGGTCAAGTCGATTTGCTCTAACCAGGTGAGAACTCCAGAGACCACGACAGCGGAGTTTCATTTGCAAGACTGACCTGGGGTCACCGTGGCGCCATGCTTCGCCGACACAACCTGCGGCAGTTCCGCAGCAGGTGGCGACGATTGCTGCGTTTTCGCACTTTGAGTCGCTTTGCGGTGCGTTTAACTTTTCGAATTTTGAAAAAACATTGGGACTGTCCGCCGTGAAGCAGACCGGGGGGGGGGGGGGGGGGGGGGCGGGAGGGGGGGCGTGCGTAGTGTTTACGGTTAACGCGCGCACCGCGGTGCTCAACAGTCGGCAACGAGCGGCGAACGCTCTACCACGCTCGGCCTTGTTGTTTATCGGAGCTCGGTGGAAAGGCGTGGGCCCCGCGCCTGAGCGATCACGTTGCGCGCAACTCGAATCGCTCGTGTGCGGAGGATGGCTCTGCAACCAGAGACTTCATCCGTGCGCGAGCGTTGAATCGAGGTGCGCGTTATTGCGAGCGTTGTTCTCTGTTGCCGCTGCGCTACCAAACGCCGGGGGCCGTGGGGCCGCCCGAAGAAGCCTGCAGTCGTGCGTTTGCCGGAAGCTTTCGAGAGAAGACGCGGCTCAACACGCGGCCTGACCCTTGAAGTAGCACACACTTGGAGCTACGAGCGGCCTGGGGCAGGCAAAACAAAAACAAAAACCCCAGTCGTTTGTCCGGTCTGGCTGAAGCTTGCAGGGTTACGTGGCAGGGGAGACGGTGGCACCGAAGATTCGGTGAACGGTGGCTGCAGAGTTTGGTTAACCTTCCGACTTTCTTCTCATCGGACGGTTAAACGAATGGGAACGCGCGTCGCCGATGCATTGGGTTGCTTTTCAACCGGTTAGGATTGCGGGTGCAGTGATGTAAAATGAAAAATAAAACTCATCCGGGCCAAAAAAAAAAAAGGCTAACTCGATGGGTTCGGTGTTTTGGGAATGTTCTTTGTATTTTGTTTTGGCCCGGACTTGCACTCGCCAGTCGAAAAGTCGAGCGGAGTTTCAGTTTCGACGTCTCGCCGTGAGTTTTTTGCGACGACGCGCGCACGCTCGAACGTTTCCGGTTATTTTCTGGCCGCTCGCGATTCGATCGCAAACGGTCAAAAACATAACGGGATCGTCGCGATTTTCCAAGACGTCCCTTGAGTTTAGCGGGATTAAGACGTCCCAATGGATTTCCCCGCTCAAAATGAGCGTCGAGGAGGAGGACAAAGGACAGAAAGCAAGCGACACAAATTGCCCCTCGTCGCACGTGCGAGCGCGTCTGCCTCCCACCTGGGGTTTACTTCAGGGCCTCATCAGGAGTCGGGCCTGTTCAACAAACGCAGCTGGGTTGCCAGCTGTTATCGGCAAGGGCCCCTCCGTGTAAACCGTGGGGCCCTAAATAAAAATGCGTGAGATTTTCTCAACAGCGAAATGAAAAATAGGTGACATTCGTATTGTGGAGTCTGAGTGCGTTCCCTCCGTCTGTGTGTATGTATCTGTGCATTCTCTGGTGATTGAAATGCACTCCCCGCAGCAAAAGGACAACCTGTTGACTAAGCGTCCCAATGTAAGTAGGCCCAAAAGAGTCGGTGATTTCCTGTCCAAGTGGTCATTGGCAGTCAACCTGCCGTTTAAAGCCCTGCAGAGCCAGCGGTGTGAAATTCCGCGTTTCCCATGCAGTCTGTCCAGAGGAAAATCCACTCTGATCTTCCCCCCCCCCAAATCCATAAACGTGGTGTTTATTTTATCGACCACGGAGGGATGATGGGCCGAGTGTGAACGCCCCAACCAGGGTTCGAACTCGCAACCTTCTGCTCGGGAGCCCGCACGCTCTACCCACCACCGGGGCTACCTGGCCGGTTCATACCCTCCCGAAAGCAGAGTCTAGTGACTCGGTGAGACGTTCAGAGATAACCAAAGGACTTTGTTGTAACGATCTTATTTTTTTTACATTTTCTAGCATCGTCGTTAATTTATTTTTCTCCCACCCCCCCCCGCCGCCCGCCCCTCCCCCCCCCCCCCCCGAAGGCGCGAGCGTCATCTTTGAGGTCGTGCGTCATCGTCATCCGCATACTCCGTGACCTGTGCGCGCGCGTGCCCACGTGGTCCTCGCTCAAGGGATGGGTGAGTTCTACAAGTCCGTCGGGTGTCCGTGAACGATGAGAGCAAGTGTCGCCGCACTACCGGGTGGCGCTGGCGGCAGCGCGGTGGTGCCCCCCCCTCCGTGCCTCGCAGCAACGAGGTCGAGGGTTCGATCCCCAACTCCCGGACGCCTTTTCGGCGTGGACTTTGTGTGTTCTCGCCCCCCCGTTCTGCAGTCTTGAGCGAGCGAGCGAGTGGAGTTTATCTTCTTTGAGAATAAAATAATAAATTAATGGAATAACAAAAAACAATAAAATTTTCACGACGTTTCGGCCACAACACAAGCGGCCTTCATCAGGTGAAGGGACGAGGCTGTCTGGAGGACAGCGCTGGAGCGAACACAGCCAAGCTCAGACCGCGACCTTTAAGCTGTGTGAGAAGAAACAGAGCGCCTTGACAAAGGAATTAGCATAAAAATTAGCATTTAATTGGCGGACTTAGCATGATGAACGGTGTAGAGGGGGTGATCTCCTGTTTGTACAGAGCGAGAGTGAGTGTGTGTAGTTTGTATGATCTCCCCCTGTTCTACAGAGTGAGCCTGAAGTGACATCCGGATAGCCGAAACAACAGCGTGGCCAGGGTTAACGGCGGAGACAACGATGGGCACACTTGTGACGCCGTTGGTAGGGTTCATGATAATGACGACGACAACAACGATGACATTGTTGATGTTGCAGGCGATGGAGTTGATCTGTGAGAAGGCGATCGGCACGAGTGAGCGCCCGCTGGGCGTGGGCGAGGCGCTGCGCCGCGTGCTAGAGTGCCTCGCCTCGGGCATCCTCCTTGAAGGCAAGAGCAGCATCACCATCATCAGCACCACCACCATCATCAGCACCACCATCATCAGCACCACCATCAGCAGCAGAATCACCATCATCAGCACCACCATCATCAGCACCACCATCAGCAGCAGCATCATCAGCACCAGCATCACCATCAGCACCACCATCAGCACCACCATCAGCAGCATCACCATCATCAGCACCACCATCATCAGCACCACCATCAGCAGCAGCATCACCATCATCAGCACCACCATCAGCAGCAGCATCACCATCATCAGCACCACCATCATCAGCACCACCATCATCAGCACCACCATCATCAGCACCACCATCAGCAGCAGCATCACCATCAGCAGAACCACCAGCAGCACCATCGGCAGCAGCAGAATAAAAAAAGATGCTTTGATACTCTTTGGTTCTTTCGGTAAAGTCATGTCGACTATCTCCGTAACCTTTACCGAAACAGCCAAAGAGCATGGATTCCTGCAGTCACGAAAGCTTCAAATTGAGATGCTTTGGTGCTCTATGCACCGTTCTTGAAAGTGATTGGCCTGCACCAGAGCTACAGCCCCTTTTTTTGGGGCCTTGTTTCACAGCTCCTATAGACCAAAGGCTGTAAAAAGGCCAACGGTTGAAGGACAACGCAAACACCAAAGCATTCATAGCGTGGGTTAAGCGTGAAAGACATCGGCACGGGCGGCATAAGCTGTGTCATGTGTCAGCACCGGTTTCGTCGGCGTCGTCGTCAACAACAGCAGCAGCATCATCAGGACCAATGTCATTAGCATCGTCGGCATTGGCAGCATCGGCACCCGCATCTTCCATTGGCATAGGCGTCGGCAATAGCGCCACCATCACCAAAATCAGCAGCCGTATCGCCAACAACCTGATAAACTTTTTCCACCTGAACATTACCAGCAACTCCACCATCGACATCATCATCATCATCACCACCACCACCATAACCAATGCACCAGCATCACCACCATGACCAGAATGTATCGGCAGCATCGCCATCGCCACCACCAGAAGTAGCAGCATCACCACCACCAGAAAGTGCCAGTAATACTACCATCAATACCACCACCAGTAGCAATACCATCATCATCATCAGTGGTGTTCTCGCTGGTTCGTGTTCACCTCTGTACCCTGTATCGTGTTTGCATTGTGTTTCTAATATTTATTGCACCGTATTTGATATTCCTGTGATTTGCATTGTTCAGCGTTGTGAGGTGCATTTGTACAATTGACGTTGTTGACATATGCACGTAAGATACATTGAGTATTGAAAACTATCGTTGGTGTCCTTGTCTGTTCCCCGCCTCGCAGACGGCTGTGGTATCTCTGACCCATGCGAGAAGGAGTTGACAGACGCCCTGGCCTCCATGTCACAGCAGCAGCGTGAGGACATAACGCAGAGTGCGCAGGTGAGCCTGCTCCTCCGTCATAAGAATGTGGAATTTCCCTTGACACGCGGAGGACGTCCAACGTCGCGTGAACACTCGACATTATATCTCCCATGTAGGCTTTAAGGGGGACTGTTAGGGCAAGGGGTATTAGCGAGCACCTGTGAAGGCCAGCACGCGACACGATGGGGTTGGCCGCCTTTGTCTCCCCAGTGGTGATGTTTACACACCACACCAGGTGCTCATTCGAGAGACCCAGGACCGATTCAAACATTCTGAGCGGGGATCGAACTGAGGTCGCCCGGGTTCGTAGCGCAGCGCGCTAACTTCTATACTGCCGCTCCCCACAGGCACACACTGACACTGACACATACACCCTGAACCTAGGCCCAGACATTTGAATGTATGTAAGACCGGCATTGGCTGAAGGGTGACCGTGCGTGCCTGTGTGTGCGCCTGTGTGTGTGTGTGTGGGGAGTGGTGGTGTAGTGGTTAGCGCCGTGCGCTACCAACCCGGCAACCCGAGTTCGATTCCCGTTCACGGCCAACACCAGTGACGATTAATATGAACCGATCCTGGGCCTCCCCTAGTTTGACTCGGCTTCAAATGAGTACTCGGTGCGATGTGTAGACATCGCCACAAAAGGGATCAAGGTGGCCGGGGCGTGGTGCTGCCCACACTGCCGCCTTGTTAACGCCGTGCCGGCCTTCGCCGTTGCCCGCTAACAACACTTCTGCAAGTGGTCTGTGGTGGGCCACATGGAGGATCTTTGCCTGTGTGTGTGTGTGTTGTTTGCGCGAGAGCAGCATGCGCTGCGGTTGCTTGCCTTCGGGCAGGTCCACCGTGTGCTTGGCATGGATCCGCTCCCCAAGAAGGGGAAGGGCGTCAGCGACGCAGGTGAGAGATGGCGGCCCTTGCGCAGCTTCTCCTGATGGGGCGGCGTCGTTGTGATGAACGCGTCCGAGCCGGTGGTTCGCTCGCTCGCTCGCTCGCTCGCTCAACCAACTCCTCGTTTTCCCGCTTGTTGCCCCGAACCGGGCAGGCGATACGGTGCAAGGCGCCGGTCCCGTGGCGCTGAAGAGGCCCCTGGAGAATTCCTCTCAGCCCGACGCCAAGAAGCGCAAGTTCGGCCTCAAAGGTAGGTCGTTCGGACGTTGCTCCAGGCCAACCACGGCGCGGTCGAGTTTGGCGTTTTTGGTAAAAAGAAATCGGCGCGTGCCCCCCACGGCACCTCGGTGTGTTCCGTGCCCCGTGGTCTCCTGCCCAGCGGCGAGCCTTCGATACGACACGCAACGGCTTCACAGCAGCCCCCCCGGCCTGGCGCAAGCGCCGGGGTGGGAGTGAGGACGACGGAGACGTCACCGCCGCTCGGTGGCCAACGCCGGTTGTTGTTGTTGTCGTCGTCGTCGTCGCTGCTGCAGGGGAGGTGAAGGGCAAGGAGCCGAGCCAGCCGATGAATGCGGTGATGCGCCTGAACCACATCCGCACGGGGCTGCAGTACAAGCTGATCTCCGAGTCGGGGCCCGTGCACGCGCCCGTCTTCACCATGGGCGTCGAGGTCAACGGCGTCCCCTACGAGGCCTCGGGCTCCTCCAAGAAGGCCGCCAAGCTGCACGTCGCTGTCAAGGTGTGACGGGGGTAGGGTGGTGGTGGTGGGGGCGGGGGCGGTGGGGTTGGAGGTGGCGTCAGTGGGCCGGAGGTGTGGGCGGGAGTGGACAGGAGTAGACCGAAGGGGATGGTAGATGGATAGGAGGTGGGCGGACGAGAGCGGACCGGTGTTATTGTGTTGAGTTTTTTTTTATTTGTGTACCGCTGCCAAGGCGAGCATCAGCGAATGATCTGTTTAATGCGTATACATCTCCGTGCATCTCTCCTACAGGTGCTTCAGGCTCTGGGCCTGCCCACGGGCGTGGAGATGAAGATGATGGAGGAGGAGGCAAAGGCCAGTGAGGAGAGCCTCAAGGGCGAGGTCGCAGGGGCCGCGGGGGCCGCTGGGGCCGTGGGGGCCGTGGGGGCCGTGGGGGTCTCGGGGGCCTCGGGGGCCTCGGTGGCGGTGGTGACGGTTGTAGAGGCGGGCACGGCGCTGACTGAGGGCAAGGCGGAGGGCAAAGGAGCCAGCAGAGAAGCGGCGTCGGCAAACTCCGCCGCTACCACCAAGACTTGCGTGGTGAGTGGGCTCAACGGAGAAGTCCTGCCCATAGACTCAACACTGCCCATAGACTCAACGCTGCCCATAGACTCAACACTGCACCATAGACTCAACACTGCCCTTAGACTCAACACTGCCCATAGACTCAACACTGCCCTTAGACTCAACACTGCCCTTAGACTCAACACTGCACCATAGACTCAACACTGCACCATAGACTCAACACTGCTCATAGACTCAACACTGCCCTTAGACTCAACACTGCCCATTGACTCAACACTGCCCATAGACTCAACACTGCCCATAGACTCAACACTGCCCTTAGACTCAACACTGCCCTTAGACTCAACACTGCCCTTAGACTCAACACTGCCCATAGACTCAACACTGCCCTTAGACTCAACACTGCCCATAGACTCAACACTGCCCATGGACTCAACACTGCCCATGGACTCAACACTGCTCATGGACTCAACACTGCCCATAGACGCAACACTGCCGATGGACTCAGCACTGCACCATAGATTCAACACTGCCCATAGACTCAGCACTGCACCATTGACGCAACACTGCCCATAGACTCAACACTGCACCATAGACTCAACACTGCCCATAGACTCAACACTGCACCATAAAATTCAACACTGCACCATAGACTCAACACTGCACCATAGACTCAACACTGCACCATTGAATTCAACACTGCACCGTAGACTCAGCACTGCCCTGTAGACTCAATACTGCACCGTAGACTCAACACTGCACCGTAGACTCAACACTGCACCATTGAATTCAACACTGCACCGTAGACTCAACACTGCACCGTAGACTCAACACTGCCTCGCAGACTCAGCACTGCCCATAGACTCAACACTGCCCCGTAGACTCAACACTGCACTGTAGACTCAACACTGCCCATAGACTCAACACTGCCCATAGACTCAACACTGCCCATAGACTCAGCACTGCCCTTAGACTCAACACTGCCCCTCTTTACATTAAGCAATTCTTTTTAACCTCCTTACATTCCTCTTAAAGCCTCGAATGAGTACCTGGTGCGGAGTGTAAACATCGCCACTGGGAAGACAAAGGCGGTCAGGCGTGATCCTGGCCCCCTTCCCATGTCACATGCCGAGCCGGCCTTCATAGCTGCTCGCTAACAGCACGTGCCCCAACAGTCTGTTCAGGCTATACGGGGGATCTTTGTCTTGTGTGGGAAGTGGTAATGTAATGGTTAGCGCACTGCACTACGAACCCGGCGACCCGAGTTCGATACCGGCTCATGGCCAACACCAGTGATGATTATCTGAACCAGTCCTGGGACTCGCATATATTGATTCGGACACAAATGAGTACCGAGAATGATGTGTAAACATAATATCCGATGTGTAAATATTGTTACTCGGGAGACAAAGGCGGCTGGACGTGTATGGCGATTATACTAATGCCGTGAGTGTGTGTGTGTGATGATGATGCACCTAGCCTGGCACAAGCACCGTGGGAATGTCATCGCCATCTAGTGGCGAACGGCGGTTGTTGTCGATTATGATAATGCTAACGACGGGCGTGTGCGGGAAATGAAGATGCACCTAGCCTGGCACAAGTGCCGTGGTGATAACGCTTGTTGTTGCTGTTGTTGTTGACGATGGCCACGATGCTAACCTACGGGAGCGCGCGTGCGAGATCCCAGGCGGTGATGAAGCAGCCCGGCCTGGTGCTCACCGCGCAGGGCAAGAACCCCATCATGGAGTTGAACGAGAAACGTCGCGGGCTCAAGTACGAGGTCACGTCGGAGGAGGGGGGCAGCCACGACAAGCGCTTCATCATCCAGGTGGGCTGCTGCTACCGCCTCCTCCTCTCATTCCTCCCTCCTCATCCCCCCTCCTGCCTCCTCTTCCCTAATTTCGCCTCCCTCCTCATCCTCTGCCCTTCTCCACCTCCCCCCTCCTCCCTCCACAATCCTACCTCCTCCTCTCATTCCTCCCTCCTCATCCCCCCTCCTGCCTCCTCTTCCCTAATTTCGCCTCCCTCCTCATCCTCTGCCCTTCTCCACCTCCCCCCTCCTCCCTCCACAATCCTACCTCCTCCTCTCATTCCTCCCTCCTCATCCCCCCTCCTGCCTCCTCTTCCCTAATTTCGCCTCCCTCCTCATCCTCTGCCCTTCTCCACCTCCCCCCTCCACAATCCTACCTCCTCCTCTCATTCCTCCCTCCTCATCCCCCCTCCTGCCTCCTCTTCCCTAATTTCGCCTCCCTCCTCATCCTCTGCCCTTCTCCACCTCCCCCCTCCTCCCTCCACAATCCTACCTCCTCCTCTCATTCCTCCCTCCTCATCCCCCCTCCTGCCTCCTCTTCCCTAATTTCGCCTCCCTCCTCATCCTCTGCCCTTCTCCACCTCCTCCCTCCACAATCCTCCCTCCCTCATTCTCCAGCCTCCTTGCCCCTCCTCTCTTTCCTCCTCCTCCACCCCCTCCTCCCCCTGCCTCCTCCTTCCTCATCCGCTTCCCTCTTCCTCCTGTGGCACCCCCAGACGTCATCGAATGACAAAACTAAAACGTACGCAGCTATCAACCCAGCCCGTCGTCGTTTTTTTAATTCCCCTTTAAAACCAGAATGTGAGCGTGCTGGAAATGCATACGTGCACGCGCCTGCGTGCGATTGTGTGCGGGGCGGTCGTGTGGCACTTGGCTCGCTGCGCTACGAACCCCGGCAACCCCGAAAGGTTCAGACATTGGTCAGTAACAGTGACCAATGTCTGAACCTGTCCTGGGCCTGCCCCTAGGACAACTCGCCCTTAAATACGCACCCGTTACGGTGCGTAAACTCAGGCGGCCGGGCACGGCGATGGCCGTGGTGCTGATTGCTCGCCACACCGCCCACCCCCCCCACCTCCCCGTCGTGCGCCGTGCCGGCCGTCGTTGGCGCTGCAACTCACGGGATCGTTGTGTTTGTTGTTGTTGCTGCTGCTGCTGCGCTCCGCGGTGCCAGGTGGAGGTGGACGGCGAGAAGTTCAAGGGGACCGGCAGCAACAAGAAAGTGGCCAAGGCCAACGCGGCGCTCGCAGCCCTGGAGAAGCTCTTCTCTGGGCCCAACGTGCCCTGCCCCCCCACCAAGACGTTCAAGCAGGTGCGGCAGGGGGGCCACGAGCCGCCGGGTGGGGGGCTTGGGGGGGGGGGGGGCTGAATACCCTCGGTGCACAAACCATAGCTGTCAAACACATTGGGTTTACTCCGTATGCTTGCACAGGGGAATTGAGTTATCAGGTCTACACGGCGTACAGCCGTTTCAATACGGGCAAACTTTTTATTTATTTAATTTAAAGCTTTCGTGACTGCAGTAATTCATATTCTTAGCTCTTTCGGTAAAGTCACGTTTTATATATATTTTATTATTTTATTGTTTCCCTTCAACGTGACTTTACCGAAAGAGCTAAGAATAAAAACATTATTTCGTCTATTTGTTTGTGTTTCTCCGTTGTGATGAGACTTTGTAGGATGAACGTTGAGATTTCTAAGAGCACGGGGTGGACCGATAAGGTGTGAGAATTGGTCTGTGATAAGGTAGCGCACTGATACAAGGGGGTTGACGGCTGTGACAAACTGGCCCCTATGCAGCTTCTCGGTGACCTTTTACTCCGGGGAATTAGACTTGTGATTATGGTAGCGGAGTGCAGCGTGGCGCGGCGGGAAGGCCTCGCCTCTGGGGGGGGGGTGGATTTGTGAAAATGTCATGAGAACATCACGGGAACAACCGGACCAGATGGACAACTCATTTCGTTTAGAAGTGCTTCTTTTTGTTGTGTTTGATTTCATCATGGGACATCTGCGCCAGTATCAGAGTATGAAAAATGCGGTAATTGGCTTTAGCCTTTCTGGCCGTAATAAAAACAGGAGGTGTTAAGATGTTTAAACACCAAATAGGAACCTTTCGCAAGGAATCAAGTACTGCATTAACCACACACAGTACTTGTGTTGAACATGCAAACAAACATGCTCTGGTAAAAACAAATTAATTGATCACGACAGTTTTTTTCCTGCTGCGGTTGCCTCACCTGATGACGTTTGCTTAGCGTTGCGATCGAAACGTGGTGATCTATTATTTTATTTCTGCCTACGTGGCGACTTTACCGAAAGCACCAAAGAGTATGGATTCCTGCAAGTAACGAAAGCTTCAAATCAAGAATGCCCTGATACAATTTCTTAATTGTCTTTCAAACTGATTGGCCTGCACCAGAGACAGCCTTCTTTATAGCCTAGGTCTTACTAGAGAATGACAATTCCTTTATTATCAGGGCATTTTGGTTTTCACCCTCACAATTATTCACCACCACCAATCACCGTCATCATCATCATCATCACATCAATGAATATTACCGGTAACATCCTTGCCGTCAAACACCATGGGCGTCGTCAGAAAGCGATTTATCGTTATCATGACGAATACCATCGCCACCATTACGGCAATTGTAGCACACACAGTAACACCTTCACGTGCCACCCCCCCCCCCCCACGGGTCGGGCGGGGGGGGGGCCGATCTTTGTCTTTGTGCAATCAGAATATTCCTGGAGGTCGGGGCAGAGGATTCGGTCGCGGCAGAGGCCGTGGCAGAGGATTCGGCTACAGTTCATATGACGGCGGCAATAAAACCGGTGAGAACGAGTGGGCGGGGTTGGGTGGCGTGTGGGCGTGCACGGGGTGGCACTGGCCGTTGCCAAGCACGCAGATGCCGCAGCACGGGGTGTTGGCCACGCCCCTTTCCGGAGCTCTCTCAGCGGGCGCTACGTGACGATGACGGTCTCGGCGGCGCGTCTCTCGCGAGCGCTTCGCACGTCTGGGGCGACTTGCGCCACGCCTCCTCTCAACACTTGCGATAAGACACTGTCACCCACTTCACCCACCCACCCACCCTTCACAGTGGTGACAGCAGCTGTGTGTGTGTGTGTGGGGGGGGGGGGTGTGATTCGAGGTTTTTGGGTTAGATCACGTACATTTTAAATGTGTCGTTTGTGGGTTTACTTTCCCGCACACAAGTGCCGAACCAGTGTAACGAATTGGCACGTTTTGTTTACGTGTCACAACCTGACTAATTGGCTGTGTCGGGTGGTGTGGTGGCGGGTTTAACGGCACATTGGTACTCGCGCGAGCTAACCAAAAAATCCCCATTATGGATAACGTTGTCCACGACTGCGTGCTAGGCTTTTTGTGTTCAGTCTGTCGTCCTTCCCCAGCACCTCCGATTAGCACGGTTGACTACGTGCGGCGCGAAAGAAGTTCAGCAACATGCATGACACGCAATGTGACCAAGCGTCATGGCCTTCGAAATGGGCTCGAGCAGCCGCGCGGAGTGGCACGAACGCCGAAAGCGCCGACCCGTCCCCGCCCCCCCTCGTCCACAAGAGGAGCGGCGTCATCGTCGCCTCGCGACGGAGAGCCGAGACAGCGAGAGAGAGAGAGAGAGAGTTGTGTAGCTGTTGGTGCACTGCGAACCCGGGGACCTGAGTTCAACCCCCGCTCACGGGCAGCACCAGTGACGGTTATTTGAACCGGTTCCGGGCCCTCCCGTCGGTCGACTCGGCCTTAAATGAGTACCCGGTGCGGTGTGTAAACTTCTCCACTGGGGAGACAAAGGCGGCCGGGCGTGGTGCCTACCCGCCCCCCTCGTCTGCCGTGCCGGGCCTTCGTAGGAGCTCACTAACAGCGCTTGGCCCAAAAGTTTGTACCCGCTACAAGGGGGATCTTTGTCTTTGCTTTCTCTACAGGCTACAACCCCAGCTCCAATTTTGGAAATGATGGGAACATTCCAGGCCATGGTGGTGGTGGTGAGTACCTTACCATAACTCTTAAACACTTGACACTATACCCCTCCCCCCTTACCAAACTATATACCCCTGTAAACTAACACTATACTCCTATTCCATAACATCACCCTATTCTTTAAGGCTTATCAAAAATCCTAACGTCATACCTTAACCATATCACCCGTCCGCTGGATTCAGCTCTCCCTGTATATTAATCAGCACTGCCCATAGACTCAGCACTTCACCATAGACTCAACAATACCCATAGCTTCAGCACTGCCCATAGACTCAACACTGCCCATAGACTCAGTACTGCTCCATAGACTGAGCACTGCCTATAGACTGAGCACTGCCCATAGACTCAGCACTGCCCACAGACTCAGCACTACCCATAGACTCAGCACTGCCCATAGACTCAGCACTGCCCATAGACTCAGCACTGCTCCATAGACTCAACAATACCCATAGCTTCAGCACTGCCCATAGACTCAGCACTGCTCCATAGACTCAGCACTGCCCATAGACTCAACACTACCCATAGACTCAACACTGCCCATAGACTCAACACTACCCATAGACTCAACACTGCCCATAGACTCAGCTGCCCCTCGTTAACCTCCTTCCATTCCTCTCTTAAAGCCTCTCGCGTCTTCCACATGGCCCATCCCTCCCCCGCCCTGTCGTGTCCCCCCCTCCACGCACCCTCTGTTACGGTCACTCACCCCCTCATCAACCCTTGCACTGCCCCCATTGCCATTTAAATAATTCCACTTTCGTGACAACCTTTAAATCCTGGTCATAGAGCGGCGTGCCTTGAGCTAAGGCGCGCACCGTTCTATGTCCATAAAATAAGATAGCACTTTTTAATTGTTATTCTCATTATTACTACACTTGAGTCTCAAGACTCCACATCAGTGAGCGTTCTCTTCTCGCCGTGCCGCCCTCCTCCACATCCCAGGTGGCTTCTTCTCAAGCGGTGGCTTCCTGAGCTCCGGCTCCCAGAACCAAGGTGGTCCGGCAGGCGCCGGCAGCGCCACGGCTGCCGCCGCCGCAGCCCCTGCTGTCCCGGCACCTGGGCCGTCCTTCCCCAGCAGTGGTGGTGGCGGTAGTGGCGGCGGCGGCGGCGGCGGCGGTGGTGGTAGTAGTAGTGGTGGTGGCGGCGGCGGCGGCAGCATTGGGCCATCGGCATCATCCGCGGCAAATAAGAACCAGTACCTGCCTGCTAGTGGAGGTCGGGGTGCTGGCAAGCCGCAGTACGGTGGTGGAGGAACAGGCGGTGGCTTTCGTGGAGGTGGTGGTGGAACTGGTGGTGGTGGTGGGAGTAGTGGTGTGAGTGGTGGTAGTAGTAGCAGCGTTGGTGTGGTTAGTAGCGGCGGTGGACCTCCGCCCAAGCCAATTTCTGCACCGGCGACACGTGGCGCAAAATCGTACCACTATCAGAAACAGGGCGGCTACGGTGGTGGTGGTGGTGGTGGCGGCGGCGGCGGCGGCGGCGGCAGTAGTGGTGGTGGCGGTGGTAGTTACCACCAACAGCACCAGCAACAACAGCATCATCAGCCACAGCATCAGCAGAAGCCTCAGCAGCACCACCATCATCAACAGCAGCAGCAGCAGCAGCAACAGCCTCACCACCATCAGCAACAACCACAACAGCAGCAGCCGCAACAACAGAGTAGCGGCTACCAGAGCTATCAGACCCATGGAGCGAGCTACCAGGCGTCCGGTGCTGGCTACCAGCAGTCGAGCTACACGCCGGCGGGGAGCTACGGGGCTCAGGGCGCCGGCTACCAGAGCTCATCGGTGCCGTCCAGCCACAAGAGCCACGGGGCGAGCGCCGGCAGTGGGTACAGCACCCAGGCGTCGGCGTACACCGGCTATGGTGAGTGTGAGCGGCACCTGGCTCTGCCCCGTGACCTCCTGCCAGCGGGCCTTCGGCACTTCACGTGGCCTCGGGAGTGCGCGCGCAGCCTGGCACAAGCGTCGTGCCGACGTCACCGCCACTTAGTGGCGAATGGCGGTTGTTGTTGTTGTTGTTGCGGTGTTGGCATGTGCGAGTGTGCGTGCGTGTGTTACGTCGGTGTGCATAGTGACGCGTGCGCGTTACACGCGGGTGAAGCTGCTGGCGAACGTGGTCCGGGCGAGCCAGTGAGTGAGCACGCACGTGCGGTGCGGGCCGAGCGTTGGCGCAACCCCTTGCCAGCCCCCCGCGGTAAGGGGACTAACTCCCGTCCGCAGGCCAGGGCAGCTACTCCAGCGCCGGCGTCGGCGGCATCACCGCCTCCTCGGCGTCCGTCTACGGCTCGGCCCAGCCGGAGCCCGCGGCCGCCGACCACTCCCTGCGCTACTACTCGTCGGCGCAGGGCGGCTACTCTGGCGCCGCCTCCGGCTACGGCGCCATCGGCCAAACCGTCGGCGCCGCCGCCGCGGCGGCCGCGGCGGCCGCGGCGGCGGCCGCCGCGGCGCAGCACAAGAAAGCTTACGACAGCGCCGCGTCGGCCGGCAAGGCGGTGTACGCGGTCGGGACCACCGGCTCGGTCGCCGTCAAGCAGCAGCAGCAGCAGGTGGCGCAGTACCCGTTGGCGGCGGCGGCGCAGGCGGTGCAGATGGCGCAGGTGGCGCAGTACCCGTCGGTGTACGGGGCCGGCGGGTACGCGACGGGCTACGCGGCGCAGCCAGCCGCGGCCACGGACTACGATGGTGAGAGGAGGAGCGCCACCTTCCACGGTTGAGTGTCTGGGACTTTCCCCCGTGCCACCTGCCCCCACGCTAGATGACGATAGTAATAATAATAGTGATGCAGGCAGACCTCGCTTAGTGCGACCCCGTGGAACGCCGATTCTTACGAGTGAGAGAACGCGCGCAGCACTGCCGCCTTGTAGGGGTACAGTAAGGGGTACAGTAAAAAAAGTACAGCACGTGCCACTTGCCGACATTGTAATTAATTATTTTGTATTCATGAAATAATGTTTACCCACCTGTATTGTCAACTTATCTAGGATTTTATATCGCACTTTTATGAAAGCGCTTTACAAGAATTGTAAATGGTATATTAGTCATTGGCTGATGGGGAAAAAGGGATGGGATTTGAGTGTGTGGGGAGGGGAATGGACGGCAAGGAAAGGTGGCGATGGTTCGGGAAAGGGAGGGGGGAGGGGTGGTAAAGGTTTTTAAGGACGTTGCGAAGAAGTGGTGGAGGGGATACGCTGTTGGAAAAAAGATGAGCCTTAAGGGAGAAACGAACAATGGAGGGTGAAGTTGCCCTGTGGGAGTTTATTCCAATGGAGGGGGAGCCAGGAGGGAGAAGGGACGGAAACGTTACCGAGCACCGACACCCCAACGAATCCCTCGTACGTTGCGAGTACGAAATAAATAAATAGCGGTGCCGGGAACGCATCCCCCGTACACGCGCAGCGGTTACAAACGACCCCCTTCTAGCGGCGATTCGATTAGCGCTGCTCGCCTCTCCGGGAGCGAGGGCATCTTGAGGAGCACTAAGCGAGGGTCTGCCCGTATTAACGGCGGTCTGTGGAAAGACTCGCTCACTGCTCCTGTCACGGGAACGTGGAGTTTCCAGCGTGTAGGCTCGTTTCTGCGACTGTTAAAATGACGAGGTTCTAAGGATGAGGATTTGCGTGTACGGTGCCGTCGCTTGAAATGCCCGGGCAGATCGAAGCGCCTCGCGATCGATGCCGTCTCTTCCATGCCGATGTTCTGCTGCTGCTGTCTTAGATGAGGGGGTGGGGGGTGGGGGACACCCACATTGGTACCCGTCCCTACGTGGGAACGCAGGTGCCAGCCCGCAAAAGGGGCATTAGTGTGGGGGCGTGGGGTGGAGTTGGGGGGGCAGTCATCCATAATACAGATTTTTTTTTTGGGTTGGATCTCGTAAAAATATAAATGTGTCGTTGAACCCGCCACCACCCTACACAGCCGACTACTAAGGGTTGTCACGTAAACAGAACATGCCAATTCGTCACTAGTACGACACTAGTGTATAGTGCAGTGTATAGTGTAGTGTACTAGTGTTGGAGAGCAAATTCACAACATTTACAATCTGAGTGTACGACGTTTCGCCAGTAATTACAACGGGCATCATCAGGCGGACATCCAGATTCGTTCCTTAAATGGGGGCGGGGGGGGTAGACGTGTTGGTGTCACTTGTGAAAGTTCTTTTCCAAAATTAAGCAACCCGCAAAAGTCAATTGTCATTTTTTTTTGTTTTCCTTTGGACTGCGATACCTTTTTTCAATTGACGTCGCCAGCTCGTCCGTCATCACGATCATCCTCGTCGTCGCCGTCGTCGCCGTCACCTGCTTGTGTGCGTCACGGCTGAGGCGCAGGAACTTCCGACAGCGAAACTGAACGTTGTTTTTCCCCCGTTCCCTCGCAGCGAGTGGCTACGGAACGTCCTACGCGTACGGGGCCACCGCGGGGTTCGCAACCCCCATCCCCACGGCCACGGGATACGCCACAGGTGAGAGCCCTCTCCCTCGGAGCCGTCGTCTCCCCTGCCGCCCCCCACGCCCCTCCACCGTACCGTTGGCTCGCTTTCGTTCGCCGTGCTCGGTCGTCGTCGTTGCTAACCGCCTCGATGACCCCCGTCACACCGGCAGGCTACGGCGCCCAGTCAACGTTCGCGGCGGCCGGGGCGGCCCCGGTGACGTACGCGGCGGCCGGGGCGGCCCCGGTGACGTACACGGCGGCCCCCAGCGCGGCGCAGGCCTACTTGACCACGCCCACCGTCTACATCTCCTCGCAGCCCGTGGCAGGCTACGGACGCGCCGACCCCTCGCTGCTGCAGACCTACCAGCAGTACCGCTAGCCCTGCCCCCTGCCCCGTGCCCCGTGCCCCGTGCCCCCTGCCCCGTGCCCCCTGCCCCCTGCCGCCTGCTCCCTGCCCCCTGCCGCGTCTTGCCCCCCTTGCGTTTGAAGCGAAAGTTCCAAGGCTTAAGTGTTCACACCCCGCCGTTTGGTTTAACCCGGGTTAGACACACAGATAGGCAGGATGGCTATATCCATTGTGTGATATACAGTGAGGGAAAATCGTCTTTGATCCCCTGCTGATTTTGTACGTTTGCCCACTGACAAAGAAATGATCAGTCTATAACTTTAATGGTAGGTTTATTTGAAGAGTGAGAGACAGAATAACAACAACAAAAATCCAGAAAAACGCATGTCAATAATGTTATGAATTGATTTGCATTTTAATGAGGGAAATAAGTATTTATTTCCCTCATTAATTAGTAGACACTACTTATTACTAAAATGCATACATACATTAAAATGACACAAAAACCACGTGAAAATTCACAGAGAGTAGTTCTAGCAAGGGGATTGTGCACTGAACAAGCTCTACGGGCAGACTGAGGAGCGGCGCTTTGTCTCGGTCGTGAACGGGGTCTACGCGGGTTCGCGGCGACTCATCCTGCCCCATACGAGTTCTAGCAAGACGTCGTATCCCAAGACATTTTCTTCTCGTCAAAACACGACGTGTACCAAATTCGACGTATTCCAAAGCGGTCGTATACACCGAGGTATGACTGTACACCTACAGACTGACATACATCTTGATTTGAAGCTTTCGTGACTGCAGGAATCCATGCTCTTTGGTTCTTTCGGTAAAGTCACGTAGGTAGAAAATATAATAGCGAGCACCTACACAGGCCCGGCACGAGGGGCTGGGTGGCCATGCACCACGCCCGATTGGCAATGTTTACACACCGCACTAGGTACTCATTTGAGGCTGAGTCGACCTAGGGGGAGGCCCCCGGACTGGTTGAGATTATCATCACGCGCAGGCAGACACAGGCATGCAGACAGGCAGACAGATACACGGGCGGGCAAAGGGCGTACACGGAACCCTGTGGCACTCATGAGCGCCGCTAAGTAGCGTTGGGCTTTGTGTCGTTTGGCTGTGTTTATATAATGACAGTTTGTTAATTTTTATTTTCGCCGACTGCATAGGTTTCTTGTTCATTAAAAAAAAACATCATACTCGGTTGTGTTGGCTCGGTTCAATATCGGCAGCCACGCGAATAGGAAACTGCCTCGTAAAGTATGGTCATTTGGACGTTATTGGCATGGTTTTACGCAAATTCTTGTGCAGGGAAATTGAGTGTTTCAGGTCCATATGGCAAACAGCCGTTTAAATACGGACAAAAAAATCATTAGCAAAACAATGTTTTGCTAATGTTTGTCCGCTTGTTTGTGTTTCTCCCTTGTGATGGGACTTTGTAGGATGAACTTTGAGATTTATAAGGGCACGGGGTGACCAATAAGGTCTGAATTGGTCTGTAATAAGCCACTGATAAGGGGTTGATAGGTAAGTATTGGCGGTACCACACCGGTGGCAGCAGCATAACAACGGAGCGTGGTCCTGGTAGGACAGTCCTGACGGTGTCGCCGTTGCCCCTCGAGTGGAGCTGCAGGACTCTCCATCGCAAGCCGCGTTTAGAACCAGCGGCGGCCGCTTTCCCATTGGAACTTGGCGACGGTGGTGGCGGTGACACCAGCAGATCACGACTCACGGTGGCGGTGGTGGTGACACCGCCGCCGCCGTGAGTCGTGATCTGCTGGTGCCGACGTCCGCCGAGAAACGATTACGAAAAACGAATCGAGGAGGGAGGAACTGTGCGGCCTAAATCTAGGGCACGAGGAGTCAAACCTTGCCGCCTTTGGAACACGGAGCCAGCCAATCGCCATCAGGGCTGGGTGCTGCAATACGGCAACAGACTGTGAAGATTCGTGTTCAGCCAGCCGCTCGTATAAAACGTTCCTTCTTCCGACCACTTCCACATCACGAGAACCGATTTTGACGCACCACCACCCTCAAGATTTTCCAGAGCCGGGGTTGCGAATCTTCCGGTGGGGGGAAATAAATAAGGGTAGCGGGAAAACAAGTTCTATTTAATTTACGTAGCGCACACCGCCGGTGCACCGACCAATACGTTAACTTGATGCGACGTTGTCGTCCCCCCCCCCCCCGTCGCTGATTGGCCCTTTGCAATTCCAGGGTTGCAACTTGGCACGTCGTGAGTTGTGGGTGTCGGAAACAAAAGGTGGGTGAAGGCTCTCGCAGCCCTGCAAGAAACTCGCCCCACCACCACCACCCACGACTCCGCTTTGGTTTGTTTTTGTGTCGCGTTTTATTTTGTAAAGAAATAATAATTTTTTTTGTCGTCGAGTTTCGACGTCGTGCGGTTTGTCCGTGGAAATAAAACCCCTCGAAGTTGACATCGGAGCAAAAGAAAACTACGTTTGCCCGGGCAATGTTTCTCGTTCCATCATCACCCGTTACATTTTGCTGTTCATTCGGGAAAACATCGCTCAACCGGTGAGACGTAAAACCGCGAGGTCGAGGCTTTCTGTTCCTGGACGGACGGGGCTGGGCATGTTGCTGCTGTGCTGTAACACGATGAAATGAATCCGCGACAGAATGAACGATAAATTCTGTTCACGCTTTGGGCCCAGTGCCAATATGGAGTAATGGAGCGTGGCTTTGCCCGTACAAAGAACAGTGGAACGGGAATCGAAGGATGCAATGCTCGATCGAACGTAAATCGACGGATCCAGCATGGTGATTCCTGCCACGTGATTTCCGGATCGAAGGAGACGATTTGTGGATAGAAATAAGGCCGCCCCCATTGACGCCGATTGGCTTCCTACCGCATTAACATAACGTATCATTGTTGATTTGAAGCTTTCGAGACTGCAAGGAATCCACACTCTTTGGTTATTTCGGTAAAGTCACCTAGGTAGAAAAATAATAGATCCCGACGTTTCCGATCGTAGGCCTACTTCAGCAGTTTTTTTCTTGCCGTAGTTGTCTGATGACGGTCGCTTGTGTTGCGATCGAAGCTGCGTGATCTATTATTTTTCTTCCTACGTGACTTTACCGAAAGAACCAAAGAGTATGATGTATCATTCACTCTGTCGCGGAATTATTTTATCCTCTTCTTTGGTTCTTTCGGTAAAGTCACGTAGAATGAGAATAAAATAAGGAGACTTTACGTAAAGCATAAAGCAAATATTTGTAGTCATCAAAGCTGGAATTTTATCCAAATTAATAAAGAGAGACATATTTTATCCTGTTGCAGCGCGGCTCTCCCCACATACTGTGGGACTAACGCTCTTTTGCTTTGCTCGTAAACCAGTCGGAGTCGTCTCCCACACCTAGATCAGGCTGTTTACCCTGGAGGTTCTGTTTATTTCAGGAATGCAGCTTGTCTGCAATTTAGTTGTATATATATTTTAAATAGCAAACCTTGGACTGGCTTCGACATTCGGTGTCGTCATCGGGCAAATTCTGGACCGGTTTGTAAATTTGCATTGGCTCGTCGGCTCCGCTTGAGCACGTGGTTCAACCGCAGTCGAGCAGCTGTGACTGACCTCCGAGCCACCTCGGCCCAGTACCAAGGAGCCTGCGTAACTATGAATATAAAGTAATCGTTAAGCGTCATATGTGGAGAATGTTGCTAATAGAATAACAGACTTACCGACCATACCGGCGGGGGTGTCACGTCCCTTGCCAACATGTCGGCTGGGGCGTCACGTCCCTTGCAAACATGTCGGCTGGGGCGTCACGTCCCTTGCCAACATATCGGATGGGGCGTCACGTCCCTTGTCAACATGTCGGCTGGGGCATCACTTCCCTTGCCAACATGTCGGCTGGGGCGTCACGTCCCTTGCCAACATGTCAGCCGGGGTGTCTCGCCCTTTGCCAACCTGTCTTCTGGGGGGGCGCCTCGTCCCTTACCAACATGTCAACCGGGGCGTCTCGTCCCTTATCAACATGTCAACCGGGGCGTCCCGTCCCTTACCAACATGTCGGCCGGCGCGTCTCGTCCCTTGCCAACATGTCGGCCAGGGGCATCTCGTCCCTTACCAACATGTCAGCCGGAGTATCTCGTCCCTTGCCAACATGTCAGCTGGGGCGTCACCACCACCCCCTCGGCGTCGTCAGTCGATTCGCTCCCTTTCGCCAGCGAGTGGCTCACGCGTTGTGTACAGAGTACAGTGCAGCTCCTCCGACATGCCTGTGAGCATGTAGAGACCAACACTCGGTCGCTCGCGGCACTTGCGCCAGCGAGCCGTTGTTGAGGGGCGGCCCACAACGGGGCAGCTTCGTCTGCGTCTTTATCTTTGTTCGACGGAGCAGGGGGTGGGGGGTGGTCTTTCTTAGACACAGCCGTAGGCGGACGTAGAAAAAAGACACGGGACACAACGGTGGGAGAGGGATAGAGACATACGCGTAGAGAGACACGCACAGACACAGCCTGAGAGACAGATAGACGCGTAGAGACAGAGAGACACACACGGACACATACAAACAGCCCGAGAGAGATAGACACACGCGTAAGAGAGACATTGAGACGCACACGGAGAGGCGAGAGAGACACAACGACAGACACACACACAGACACACGTGGAAAAGCATAGCGATACACTCGCAGAGAGACGCACACACACCCATTCAGAGTTACACACTCTGAGACACACGAACACACACTCAAAAGGGCACAGACACACATACACTCTGAGACAGACACACAGACACTCACAGGCACACACATACACAGACACTCACACACACAGACACACGCACATACACAGACTCACACACCCACAGACACACACACTCACACATAGACACACAGACAGACTCACACACACAGACACACTCACACACACAGACTCACACACACACAGACTCACACACACACACAGACACTCACAGACACACACATACACTCACACAGACACTCACACACGACACGCACACACACACAGACACGCTCACACGTCGCCCGCGCGATGGGCAAGGCGGACTCGCTCCGCGTGCTGCTGCACGGCGGCCGCCTCGTCTACTACCCGGGAGACGTCGTCTCGGGCGACGTCTCCTTCAGCCTCAGTGGAGCTGCCTCCTCCTGGCTCAGAGGTCTCGCCTCCACCTCATCATCATCATCCTCGTCCTGTCTCTCTCCTGCTCACGTCTCTCCACCTCCTTCAGCCTCAGTGGCGCTGCCTCCTCCTGGCTCAGAGGTCTCGCCTCCACCTCATCATCATCCTCATCATCCTCGTCCTGTCTCTCACCTCGCACCACTCCTCCACCTCCTTCAGCCTCAGTGGAGCTGCCTCCTCCTGGCTCAGAGGTCTCGCCTCCACCTCATCATCATCATCCTCGTCCTGTCTGTCACCTGCTCACGTCTCTCCACCTCATCATCCTCATCCTGTCTCTCACCTGCTCACGTCTCTCCACCTCCTCCACCACCTTCACCTCCTCACCTGCTCACGTCTCTGCACCACCTCCACCTGCTCACGTCTCTCCACCTCCTCCACTACCTTCACCTCCTCACCTGCTCACGTCTCTCCACCTCCTCCACCACCTTCACCTCTCGTCCCAACTCTCCTTCACCAGAGCTCTCATCACCCCTCTCTCTCCTCCACCCTCTCCCTCCCCTCTCATCACCCCTCTCCCTCCTCTCCCTCCCCTCTCCCTCCCTCCCCTCTCTCTCTCCCTCCCCTCTCCCTCCCCCTCCCTTCCCTCTCCCTCCTCTCCCTCCCTCCCTCTCCCTTCCCACCCTCTCCCTCCCTCCCCACCTTCTCCCTCCCCCTCCCTCCCCCACCCTCTCCCTCCCTCTCTCTCCCTCCCTCCTCTCCCTCCCCACCCTCTCCCTCCCTCACCCTCCCTCCCTGCCCTCTCCCTCCGTCCCCCTCCCTCCCCTCTCCCTCCTCTCCCTCCCCACCCTCTCCGTCCCGCTCCCTCCCTCCCCACCCTCCCCCCCAGCCTCTCCCTCCCTCTCCCTCCCCCACCCTCTCCCTCCCTCTCCCTCCCCCACCCTCTCCCTCCCCACTCTCCCTCTCCCTCCCCACCCTCCCTCTCACCTCTGCAGCCTCTCACCTCCCTTGACGCAATCTCCCCGAGTGACTCACGATCTGGTGAGTCACTGAATGTCGAAACCGGTCCAGAGTTTTCTAATGATCACTGTGCATGTGTGTGTCCGTGTGCGTGTGTGTGTGTCCCTGCGTGCGTGTGTGTGTGTCCCTGTGTGTGTGCGTGTGTTCGTGTGTGTCCCTGCGTGCGTGTGTGTCCGTGCGTGTGTGTCCCTGCGTGCGTGTGTGTGTGCGTGTGTTCGTGTGTGTCCGTGCGTGTGTGTCCCTGCGTGCGTGTGTGTGTGTATGTGCGTGTGTTCGTGTGTGTCCCTGCGTGCGTGTGTGTCCGTGCGTGTGTGTGTGTCCCTGCGTGCGTGTGTGTCCGTGTGTGTGTGCGTGTGTTCGTGTGTGTCCCTGCGTGCGTGTGTGTCCGTGCGTGTGTGTGTGTCCCTGCGTGCGTGTGTGTGTGCCCCTGCGTGCGTGTGCGTGTGTTCGTGTGTGTCCGTGCGTGCGCGTGTGTGTCCGTGCGTGTGTGTGTGTCCCTGCGTGCGTGTGTCCGCGGGGCCCCCCACCGCCCGACCTGCGGCCCCCCAGCCGTGCACGCCAAGTGCGTGGGCCGCTGCCAGGTGAGCCAGAAGGGGGGCACCTCCGAGCCCGAGGCCACGGAGCAGTACGTGCGACTCGCCCTGCTGCTCTGGAAAAAAGGTAACGTGGAGTGAGCGCACGGCGGGGGGGGGGGGGGGTGGCACTCCGCACTCCCACACGGCACTGCCCCCCACTCCCTGCCCCCCACTCCCTGCCCCCCACTCCCTGCCCCCGCTGCCAGACTCGACCGCAAAACAACAACAACGAGGCATTTTTTTCGAATTGGGTGAAGAAAAGAAAGATGACGCCATCTGGTCGAGCCTCGACCCAATTGGTGCTCGACCAGATGACGTCATCTGGTCGAGCACCAATTGGGTCGAGGCTCGACCAGATGGCGTCATCTGGTCGAGCACCAATTGGGTCGAGGCTCGACCAGATGGCGTCATCTGGTCGAGCACCAATTGGGTCGAGGCTCGACCAGATGACGTCATGACGTCATCTGGTCGAGCACCAATTGGGTCGAGGCTCAAAAGAAAGCCGTCCCTTGGTGTGGACCAAACAGTTTCAAGGACAATGCATCATATATTATCACAGTATGTTTTGTGTTTGGGTTTTGACTACAGGTATTGTGGTTAATGCAGTAAACATGAATCCTTGTAAAAAAATGTTTCAGTTTTGTTGCCAGAAAAAAAGGGGAAAACCCCCGATTATTAAATAATAAAATAGACAGCGCCCTCAGGGCGTCCTGAGGAGAACCGTCTTTCTGACAGCTCTCTGATTCTTCACCTGAGCACGGCTGCTTGCGTTGTGGCCGAAACGTCGTGAGAATTTTATCATGTTTTATCATGTCTTATTATTTTATTGTTGCCCTTCTCCGTGACTTTACCGATAGAACCAAATATATATATGAAACATTTGTTAAACACAACAAGACGATTGATAGAAGGGCATTTTTTTCACGAGCGGAGCCATTTCTCGTCTGCGGCTGTTTGGTGGGGCTGGAGTGGACGAAGCGCGCCCGGCCCGCGGAGAAGTCGGGGCTTGGCGCGAGAGAAGACGCATTCTGTCGGGGAAATTTCAATGCCGCGGGTTCGGGAAAACCGCACTGAGCACGTGGTAGAATCACCAACACCCCCCCCCCCGCCCCTCATCCTCATTTCTCTCCCCCCCCTCCCGCCCGCCCGCTCTGATGAGTCCGGTTCGCCTGATACCGTCGATGGAACCCCTGCTAAGCCGTCCACAATGAGGTCACCATGTTGCAATGTATCATGTGAGGGAGGATGTGGGACTTACACATTTTTTTTATTTTTAGAAACAATAGCGAGCAGCGGCAGCAGCATCGCCGACACGAGGGTGGGGTGGTCAGATCCACCCTCGGCCGGCCTCGTCTTCCCAGTGCTGATGTTTACCACACACAATGCACACACACACACCCAGCACACACACACACAACACACACCACGCACACACACAACGCACACACACACACACACACCGCACACACACAACACACACCACACACACACACAACGCGCACACACACACACCGCACACACAACGCGCACACACACACACCGCACACACACCGCGCGCACACATACAACACACACCATACACACACAACACACACACCGCACACACATACAACACACACCGCACACACACAACACACACTGCACACAACACACACACAACGCGCACACAAACGCGCAAACACAACGCGCACACACACAACGCACACACAACGCACACACACACAACACACACACAACGCACACATACACACAACAAACACACACAACGCACACACACACAGCGCACACACAATGTGCACACGCACACAACACACGCACACAACGCACACAACGCACACACACACCGCACACACACTAAACGCGCCCACACACATCGCACACACACTGCACCAAGTACTCGTTTAAGGCTGAGTCGTCCCAGGAGCGATGGTCCAGGAGCAGGTTGAGAAGCACGGCTGCACCCCCTGGCCTGGCTCTCTCTGGCTCGCTAGCGTGGCTCTTTAACCGCAACGGTTTCCCTGTTTTCCAGACTCGTCAGGAGCACTGGGCTCTGGCAACCACTCCTTCACCTTCCACTTCCCCCTGCCCAGTGAGCTGGACCGCACCGCTCCCTCACTCGCTCGCTCACTCACTCACTCGCTCGCTCCCGCACCAACTCATTCACTGACTCGCTCAATCGCTCACTCGCTCACTCACTCACTCACTCGCTCCCGCACCGACTTGCTCACTCGCTCGCTCGCTCGCTCGCTCACTCACTCGCTCGCTCACTCACTCGCTCCCGCACCGACTCATTCACTGACTCGCTCAATCGCTCGCTCCCGCGCTCGCTCACCCGCTCGCTCGCTCACTCACTGGCTCACTCACTCCCGCACTGACTCGCTCAATCGCTCGCTCCCGCACTTGCTCACTCGCTCACTCGCTCGCTCGCTCACTCACTCACTCACCCGCTCCCGCACCGACTCATTCACTGACTCGCTCAATCGCTCGCTCCCGCACTGTGCTCACCCGTTCGCTCACTTGCTCACTTACTCGCTTCCACACTTGGTCATTCATTCGCTCGCCCGCTCACACTCGTCTGCCCACGTCTCCCCCCACCCCCCCCCACTCCGTCTCCCCCCGCGCCCGCGCAGCGTCGGTGCCGACGTCGTTCGAGGGCCGCTTTGGCCGCGTGGAGTACTCGGTGCAGGCCGTGCTGGAGGCGGCGTGGTACCGGGCCGACCAGAGCGCCCGCGTCACGCTCTACGTGCTCAACCCCCTCGACCTCAACCTGCTGCCCGAGTGCCGCGTGAGTCCCGGCGCCGCCATCGCCGCCATCACTGCCACCACCGCCATCGTCACCGCCGCCACCGTCGCTACCACCGCCACCACAGCCATCGTCGCCGCCACCACCACCACCGCCATCATCACCATCACCACCATCGCCACCGCCACCACCACCATCGCCACCACCACCACCGCCATCATCACCATCACCACCACCGCCACCACAGCCATCATCACCATCGCCACCACCGTCGTCGCCACTGCCGCCAACAAAGCGACAGTGATAGGATCACAGAGCTCGGGCGATTTGTTGGTCAGACCGCGTCCCACTGGCTGGGGGCCTCCACGCTTGTCTCTAGATCTCTCCCAGTGTGCAAGTCCCTGTGTGAGTCTCTGTGTGAGTCTACGTCTCTGTGTGAGTCTCTGTGTGAGTCTACGTCTCTGTGCAAGCTCTGTGTGAGTCTCTGTGTGAGTCTCTGTGTGAGTCTACGTCTCTGTGTGAGTCTACGTCTCTGTGTGAGTGTCTGTATGAGTCTACGTCTCTGTGTGAGTCTCTGTGAGTCTACGTCTCTGTGTCAGTCTACATCTCTGTGTGAGTCTACGTCTCTGCAAGTCTCTGTGTGAGTCTACGTCTCTGTGTGAGTCTCTGTGTAAGTCTACGTCTCTGTGTGAGTCTACGTCTCTGTGTGAGTCTCTGTGCGAATCTACGTCTCTGTGCGAGTCTGTGTGTGAGTCTACGTCTCTGTGTGAGTCTGTGTGTGAGTCTACGTCTCTGTGTGAGTCTACTTCTCTGTGTGAGTCTCTGTGTGAGTCTCTGTGTGAGTCTACGTCTCTGTGTGATTCTACGTCTCTGTGTGAGTCTCTGTGTAAGTCTACGTCTCTGTGTGAGTCTACGTCTCTGTGTGAGTCTCTGTGCGAATCTACGTCTCTGTGCGAGTCTGTGTGTGAGTCTACGTCTCTGTGCGAGTCTGTGTGTGAGTCTACGTCTCTGTGCGAGTCTGTGTGTGAGTCTACGTCTGTGTGTGAGTCTACGTCTCTGTGTGAGTCTACATCTCTGTGTGAGTCTCTGTGTGAGTCTCTGTGTGAGTCTACGTCTCTGTGTGAGTCTCTGTGTGAGTCTACATCTCTGTGTGAGTCTCTGTGTGAGTCTACGTCTCTGTGTGAGTCTCTGTGTGAGTCTACGTCTCTGTGTGAGTCTCTGTGTGAGTCTACGTCTCTGTGCACGTCTCTGTGTGAGTCTACATCTCTGTGTGAGTCTCTGTGTGAGTCTACGTCTCTGTGCACGTCTCTGTGTGAGTCTACATCTCTGTGTGAGTCTCTGTGTGAGTCTACGTTTCTGTGTGCGTCTACGTCTCTGTGTGAGTCTACGTCTCTGTGCGAGTCTCTGTGTGAGTCTACGTCTCTGTGTGAGTCTACGTCTCTGTGCAAGTCTCTGTGTGAGTCTACGTCTCTGTGCGAGTCTCTGTGTGAGTCTTCGTCTCTGTGTGAGTCTACGTCTCTGTGCGAGTCTCTGTGTGAGTCTACGTCTCTGTGTGAGTCGCTGTGTGAGTCTACATCTCTGTGTGAGTCTCTGTATGAGTCTCTGTGTGAGTCTACGTCTCTGTGTGAGTCTCTGTGTGAGTCTCTGTGTGAGTCTACGTCTCTGTGCAAGTCTCAGTGCAAGTCTCTGTATGAGTCTACGTCTCTGTGTGAGTCTTTGTGTGAGTCTACGTCTCTGTGTGAGTCTACGTCTCTGTGTAAGTCTACGTCTCTGTGCAAGTCTCTGCGTGAGTCTCTGTGTGAGTCTACGTCTCTGTGTGAGTCTACGTCTCTGTGTGAGTCTCTGTGTTAGTCTACGTCTCTGTGCGAGTCTCTGTGTGAGTCTACGTCTCTGTGCGAGTCTCTGTGTGAGTCTACGTCTCTGTGTGAGTCTACGTCTCTGTGTGAGTCTACGTCTCTGTGCAAGTCTCTGTGTGAGTCTACGTCTCTGTGTGAGCCTCTGTGTGAGTCTATGGGTCTTTGTGTGAGTCTATGGCTTTGTGTGAGTCTTCGGGTCTCTGTGCCAGTCTATGGGTCTTTGTGCAAGTCTATGGGTCTATGATGAGTCTATGGGTCTCTGTGTGATGAGTGTATGGGTCTCTATGAGTGTATGGGTCTCTGTGTGATGAGTCTATGGGTCTCTGCGTGATGAGTCTATGGGTCTCTGCGTGATGAGTCTATGGGTCTCTATGGGTCTCTGCGTGATGAGTCTATGGGTCTCTATGATGAGTGTATGGGTTTCTGTGTGATGAGTGTATGGGTCTCTATGATGAGTCTATGGGTCTCTGCGTGATGAGTCTATGGATCTCTATGATGAGTCTATGGGTCTCTGCGTGATGAGTCTTTGGGTCTCTGCGTGATGAGTCTATGGGTCTCTATAATGAGTCTATGGGTCTCTGCGTGATGAGTCTATGGGTCTCTATGATGAGTCTATGAGTCTCTGTGTGATGAGTCTACGGGTCTCTATGATGAGTCTATGGGTCTCTGTGTGATGAGTCTACGGGTCTCTATGATGAGTCTATGGGTGGTTAAATTTCGATTTAAAGCTTTCGTGACTGCAAGGATTCATCTTCTTTGGTTCTTTCGGTAAAGTCACGTAGAATTAGAATAAAATAATAAATTGATAAAATAAAATAACGCAATAATATTCCTCACTCCAGCGCTGTCCTCCAGACAGTCTCGTCCCCTTCACCTGATGAAGGCCGCTTGTGTTGTGGCCGAAACATCGTGAGAATATTATTGTGTTATTTTATTTTATCAATTTATTATTTTATTCTCATTCTACGTGACTTTACCGAAAGAACCAAAGAAGAAGAGTCTATGGGTCTCTGTGTGATGAGTGTATGGGTCTCTATGATGAGTCTATGGGTCTCTGCGTGATGAGTCTATGGGTCTCTGCGTGATGAGTCTATGGGTCTCTATAATGAGTCTATGCGTCTCTGTGTGATGAGTGTATGGGTCTCTATGATGAGTCTATGGGTCTCTGTGTGATGAGTCTATGGGTCTCTGTGTGATGAGTCTATGGGTCTCTGTGTGGTGAGTCTATGGGTCTCTATGATGAGTCTATGGGTCTCTATGATGAGTCTATGGGTCTCTGTGTGATGAGTGTATGTGTCTCTATGATGAGTCTATGGGTCTGTGTGTGATGAGTGTATGGGTCTCTATGTGATGAGTGTATGGGTCTCTATGATGAGTCTATGGGTCTCTGTGTGATGAGTCTATGGGTCTCTGTGTGATGAGTCTATGGGTCTCTGCGTGGTGAGTCTATGGGTCTCTATGATGAGTCTATGGGTCTCTGTGTGATGAGTGTATGGGTCTCTTTGATGAGTCTATGGGTCTGTGTGTGATGAGTGTATGGGTCTCTATGTGATGAGTGTATGGGTCTCTATGATGAGTCTATGAGTCTCTGTGTGATGAGTCTATGGGTCTCTATGATGAGTCTATGGGTCTCTGTGTGATGAGTCTATGGGTCTCTGTGTGATGAGTCTATGGGTCTCTATGATGAGTCTATGGGTCTCTGTGTGATGAGTCTATGGGTCTCTGTGTGATGAGTCTATGGGTCTCTGTGTGGTGAGTCTATGGGTCTCTATGATGAGTCTATGGGTCTCTGTGTGATGAGTGTATGGGTCTCTATGATGAGTCTATGGGTCTCTGTGTGATGAGTCTATGGGTCTCTATGATGAGTCTATGGGTCTCTGTGTGATGAGTATATGGGTCTCTGTGTGATGAGTCTATGGGTCTCTGTGTGGTGAGTCTATGGGTCTCTATGATGAGTCTATGGGTCTCTGTGTGATGAGTCTATGGGTCTCTGTGTGATGAGTGTATAGGTCTCTATGATGAGTCTATGCGTCTTTGTGTGATGAGTGTATGGGTCTCTATGATGAGTCTATGAGTCTCTGCATGATGAGTCTATAGGTCTCTGCGTGATGAGTCTATGGGTCTCTATGATGAGTCTATGCGTCTCTGTGTGATGAGTGTATGGGTCTCTATGATGAGTCTATGCATCTCTGTGTGATGAGTGTATGGGTCTCTATGATGAGTCGATGGGTCTCTGCGTGATGAGTCTATGGGTATCTATGATGAGTCTATGCGTCTCTGTGTGATGAGTGTATGGGTCTCTATGATGAGTCTATGCGTCTGTGTGTGATGAGTCTATGCGTCTCTGTGTGATGAGTGTTTGGGTCTCTATGATGAGTCTATGGGTCTGTGTGTGATGAGTGTATTGGTCTCTATGTGATGAGTGTATGGGTCTCTATGATGAGTCTATGGGTCTCTGTGTGATGAGTCTATGGGTCTCTATGATGAGTCTATGGGTCTCTGTGTGATGAGTCTATGGGTCTCTGTGTGATGAGTCTATGGGTCTCTGTGTGGTGAGTCTATGGGTCTCTATGATGAGTCTATGGGTCTCTGTGTGATGAGTGTATGGGTCTCTATGATGAGTCTATGGGTCTCTGTGTGATGAGTCTATGGGTCTCTATGATGAGTCTATGGGTCTCTGTGTGATGAGTATATGGGTCTCTGTGTGATGAGTCTATGGGTCTCTGTGTGGTGAGTCTATGGGTCTCTATGATGAGTCTATGGGTCTCTGTGTGATGAGTCTATGGGTCTCTGTGTGATGAGTGTATAGGTCTCTATGATGAGTCTATGCGTCTTTGTGTGATGAGTGTATGGGTCTCTATGATGAGTCTATGGGTCTCTGCATGATGAGTCTATAGGTCTCTGCGTGATGAGTCTATGGGTCTCTATGATGAGTCTATGCGTCTCTGTGTGATGAGTGTATGGGTCTCTATGATGAGTCTATGCATCTCTGTGTGATGAGTGTATGGGTCTCTATGATGAGTCGATGGGTCTCTGCATGATGAGTCTATGGGTATCTATGATGAGTCTATGCGTCTCTGTGTGATGAGTGTATGGGTCTCTATGATGAGTCTATGCGTCTGTGTGTGATGAGTCTATGCGTCTCTGTGTGATGAGTGTTTGGGTCTCTATGATGAGTCTATGGGTCTGTGTGTGATGAGTGTATTGGTCTCTATGTGATGAGTGTATGGGTCTCTATGATGAGTCTATGGGTCTCTGTGTGATGAGTCTATGGGTCTCTATGATGAGTCTATGGGTCTCTGTGTGATGAGTTTATGGGTCTCTGTGTGATGAGTCTATGGGTCTCTGTGTGATGAGTCTATGGGTCTCTGTGTGGAGAGTCTATGGATCTCTATGATGAGTCTATGGGTCTCTGTGTGGTGAGTCTTTGGGTCTCTATGATGAGTCTATGGGTCTCTGTGTGATGAGTGTATGGGTCTCTATGATGAGTGTATGGGTCTGTGTGTGATGAGTGTATGGGTCTCTATGTGATGAGTGTATGGGTCTCTATGATGAGTCTATGGGTCTCTGTGTGATGAGTCTATGGGTCTCTGTGTGATGAGTCTATGGGTCTCTGTGTGGTGAGTCTATGGGTCTCTATGATGAATCTATGGGTCTCTGTGTGATGGGTGTATGGGTCTCTATGATGAGTCTATGGGTCTGTGTGTGATGAGTGTATGGGTCTCTATGTGATGAGTGTATGGGTCTCTATGATGAGTCTATGGGTCTCTGTGTGATGAGTCTATGGGTCTCTATGATGAGTCTATGGGTCTCTGTGTGATGAGTCTATGGGTCTCTGTGTGGTGAGTCTATGGGTCTCTATGATGAGTCTATGGGTCTCTGTGTGATGAGTGTATGGGTCTCTATGATGAGTCTATGGGTCTCTGTGTGATGAGTCTATGGGTCTCTATGATGAGTCTATGGGTCTCTGTGTGATGAGTGTATGGGTCTCTGTGTGATGAGTCTATGGGTCTCTGTGTGGTGAGTCTATGGGTCTCTATGATGAGTCTATGGGTCTCTGTGTGATGAGTCTATGGGTCTCTGTGTGATGAGTGTATGGGTCTCTATGATGAGTCTATGTGTCTCTGTGTGATGAGTGTATGGGTCTCTATGATGAGTCTATGGGTGTCTGCATGATGAGTCTATGGGTCTCTGCGTGATGAGTCTATGGGTCTCTATGATGAGTCTATGCGTCTCTGTGTGATGAGTGTATGGGTCTCTATGATGAGTCTATGCGTCTCTGTATGATGAGTGTATGGGCCTCTATGATGAGTCTATGGGTCTCTGCATGGTGAGTCTATGGGTCTCTGCGTGATGAGTCTATGGGTCTCTATGATGAGTCTATGCGTCTGTGTGTGATGAGTCTATGCGTCTCTGTGTGATGATTCTATGGGTCTCTTTGATGAGTCTATGGGTCTGTGTGTTATGAGTGTATGGGTCTCTATGTGATGAGTGTATGGGTCTCTATGATGAGTCTATGGGTTTCTGTGTGATGAGTCTATGGGTCTCTATGATGAGTCTATGGGTCTCTGTGTGATGAGTCTATGGGTCTCTGTGTGATGAGTCTATGGGTCTCTGTGTGGTGAGTCTATGGGTCTCTATGATGAGTCTATGGGTCTCTATGTGATGAGTGTATGGGTCTCTATGATGAGTCTATGGGTCTCTGTGTGATGAGTCTATGGGTCTCTGTGTGATGAGTCTATGGGTCTCTGTGTGGTGAGACTATGGGTCTCTATGATGAGGCTATGGGTCTCTGTGTGATGAGTGTATGGGTCTCTATGTTGAGTCTATGGGTCTCTGCGTGATGAGTCTTTGGGTCTCTATGTGATGAGTGTATGGGTCCCTATGATGAGTCTATGGCTCTCTATGCTGAGTCTATGGGTCTCTATGATGAGTCTATGCGTCTCTGTGTGATGAGTCTATGGGTCTCTGCGTGATGAGTCTATGGGTCTCTGTGTGATGAGTCTATGGGTCTCTGTGTGATGAGTCTATGGGTCTCTATGATGAGTCTATGGGTCTCTGCGTAATGAGTCTATGGGTCTCTATGATGAGTCTATGGGTCTCTGCGTGATGAGTCTATGGGTCTCTATGATGAATCTATGCGTCTCTGTGTGATGAGTCTATGGGTCTCTGCGTGATGAGTCTATGGGTCTCTGTGTGATTAGTCTATGGGTCTCTGTGTGATGAGTCTATGGGTCTCTATGATGAGTCTATGGGTCTCTGCGTGATGAGTCTATGGGTCTCTATGATGAATCTATGGGTCTCTATGATGAGTCTATGGGTCTCTATGATGAGTCTATGGGTCTCTATGATGAGTCTATGGGTCTCTATGATGAGTCTATGGGTCTGTGTGCCCGCCCCCCTGCCCACCTCGCGGCTGGCAGTCCCCGTCTGTGGTGGAGGTGCAGAAGAAGGTGAACTACTCGCTCTTCAAGAGCGCCACCGTGGCGCTGGCCGTGAGCTCCGACCTCCGGGGCTACGTGCCGGGCCAGGTCATCCACCTCACCTGCGTCATCAACAACGGCACCGGCAAAAGCGTCTCCGGCATCACCGCTACCCTCGTGCAGGTGGGGCGGGGGCGGGGGCGGGGGGGGGGGGTGTGACCCCGGCGCTCGTGCCAGGCTAGGTGCGCCTCGAGGCGATCAGGCGAAGTGTCGAAGGTTCTCGCTCGCTGACAGCGGGTCACGGGACAAACCCAGCAGGGGCCGTGGGTCGACCCGACTGAGACGACTGGCTGATGCACCACCTGTGGCCCCTACTGTGCCAACCCGCTGTGCTTTAGCCACCCGGCGCTCCGCTCGTTGTTGTGAGCGTCGCTCCTCCGCCCTCCGTTGTTGTTGGAGGGCGACTGCCTCCAACTGCCCAGTAGCATCCTTCAAGAGCCTCCTCCACTGAGGCCGATCTTGACGCCGCTGGTACCGGTCATCGGCAAGTCCACTCAGCTCCACGTCCTCCTGTACCACATCACTCCATCTCTTCTCTAGCCCGTGCCGCGCCCATTTAGCCCCCTCTATTTGACCGAACAAAAGCTGTTTCGGCATGCGGTGGCTGGGCATGCGGGCTACATGACCCTGCCAACGCAGCCTTGCCCGCCGGAGGAGCTCACAGATGGGACCTTGCCCAGATCTTTCAAGGATTTGTGAGCTCCTCACACAGTCCAGCCTGGTTAAACCCAGGATGGATCGTAAGCAGGCCAGCCTAAATGTTTCTAACCGGCGAAGATGCTCCATTAGGGGGGTCCACGTTTCGCAAGCGTAGAGAAGGGTGGAATGACCGTGGCCGAGAAGACCTGAAGCTTCGTGCGGAGCGACAGACCAGGTAGCTTCCACACAGCGTTACGCAGCCGATGAAAGGATAATACCTCTCAACTGATTCGGAGTGAGACCTCTGCTGTCAAACCGGAGCCGGTCATGAGCACACTGCCCAGGTATGGGAAACTCTCCACTCCACAACTGCCCCATCACCAAATCGGAGTTGTAGGGGTGGAGTGTCTAATGGCACAAAATACCCAGGCAGGTGCTTAGTTTTGGTGGGGCTGATGGTAAGACCCCGCCTATTAGTGGCACACTCCAGGTTCAGCAGCAGCGCCTCCAACTCCTCCTCTGAGTGAGCAGCAATTACCAGATCATAAGCATACATAACGTGGTTGACCAATAGGGAGCCATCCCTTGACCGCACCCGGGCATCGATCAGCCTCCCATTGTATCTGTTCCAGATGTAAATTCCTCCGGTACAGCCATCGAAGGCTTCACAAACTACGCGGTCGAAATAGATGTTGAATAATGTGGGAGCCAGAGGACATCCCTGTCGCACTCCCGGCCACGTAGTTTTATCCGGGCCTGCCCACAAACACACTCGCACACACACACTCCCTCACTCACACACTCACTCACTCGCACAAATACAAAGATCCCCCGTGTAGCCTGAACAGATTGTTGGGGCAAGTGCTGTTAACGACCACCTGTGAAGGCCGGCACGGCACATGAGGGGGTGGGCACCACGCCCGGCCGCCTTTGTCTCCCCAGTGGCAATGATTACTACACACTGCACTGGGTACTCATTTGAGGCTGAGTCGACCTAGGGGAGGCCCATGACCGGTTTAGCATAATCGTCACTGGTGTTGGCCGTGAGTGGGAATCGAACTCGGGTTGCCGGGTTTGCAGTGTGTAACCGCTACACTACCGCTCCCCATACTCACACTCGCTCACTCACACTCGCTCACTCACACACACACACGTACTCACACCCTCACTCACTCACACACTCGCTCACTCACACACACACACACACGTACTCACACCCTCACTCACACACTCGCTCACACACACCCTCACTCACACACACACACACGTACCCACACCCTCACTCACACACTCGCTCACTCACACACACACGTACTCACACCCTCACTCACTCACTTCCTCACTCACACACTCACGTACGCACTCACACACACACTTCCTCACTCACACACACCCTCACTCACACACACACACGTACTCACACCCTCACTCACACACTTCCTCACTCACACACACACTCACGTACTCACTCACACACACACTTCCTCACTCACACACACACACAAAGATCCCCCATATAGCTTTAACAGACTGTAGGGGCAAGTGCTGTTAGCGAGCACCTATGAAGGCCGGAACGGTACACGAGGGGGTGGGTGGCCAGCACCACGCCCGACCGCCTTTGTCTCCCCAGTGGCGATCTTTACACACCGCACCAGGTACTCATTTGAGGCTGAGTCGACCTAGGGGAGGCCCGGGACCGGTTCAGATAATCGTCACTGGTGTTGGCCGTGAGCGGAAATCGAACCCGGGTCGCCAGGTTCATAGCGCAGTGCGATAACCGCTACACTATCGCTCACACACACACATGTACTCACACACACACACCCTCACACACACACACCCTCACTCACACACACACACTCACGTACTCACACACACACACGTACTCATACACACACACACCCTCACACACACACACACACACGTACTCACACCCTCACACACTCGCTCACTCACACACACACGCACCCACACACACACACCCTCACACACACACACGTACTCACACCCTCACTCACACGTATGTCTGTGTTTCCGTGTGTGTTTCTGTGTGTCTGTGTGTCCGTGTGTGTCTGTGTGTCCGTGTGTGTTTGTCTGTGTGTCTGTCTGTGTGTGTCTGTCTTTGTGTGTTTGTGCCTCTCTTTCTGTGAGTGTCTGTCTGTGTGTCTGTCTGTGTGTCTGTGTGTCCGTGTGTGTCTGTCTGTGTGTGTGTCTGTGTGTGTCTGTCTTTGTGTGTGTTTGTGTCTCTCTTTCTGTGAGTGTCTGTCTGTGTGTGTGTCTGTGTGTCCATGTGTGTCTGTGTGTGTGTCTGTCTGTGTGTGTGTGTGGGTGCGTGTGTGTGTGCGTGTGTGTGCGCGTGTGTGTGCGTGCGCGTGCGTGTGTGCGTGTGTGTGCGTGCGCGCGTGTGTGTGCGTGTGTGTGCGTGTGTGCGTGTGTGTGCGTGTGTGCGTGTGTGTGCGTGTGTGCGCGTGTGTGTGTGCGTGTGTGTGCGTGTGTGTGCGTGTGTGTGTGTGTGTGTGCGTGTGTGTGTGTGCGCGTGTGTACGCGTGTGTGTGTGTGCGCGTGTGTACGCGTGTGTGTGTGTGCGTGTGTGTGTGTGTACGTGTGCGTGTGTGTGCGTGTGTGCGTGTGCGTGTGTGTGTGCGTGTGTACGTGTGTGTGTGTACGTGTGTGTGTGTGTACGTGTGTGTGTGTGTGTGCGTGTGTGTGTGTGTACGTGTGTGTGTGTGTGTACGTGTGTGTGTGTACGTGTGTGTGTGTGTACGTGTGTGTGTGCGTGTGTGTGTGTGTGTCTGTGTGTGTCTGTGTGTGTGTGTGCACGTGTGTGTGTGTGTGCACGTGTGTGTGTGTGTGTGTCTGTGTGTGTCTGTGTGTGTGTGTGTGTGTGCACGTGTGTGTGTGTGTGCGTCACGTAGAAGGTGACGTTCCGCGGGCGCTGCGTGATGTACGACATGCGCACGCTGGCTCAGTTGGAGGGCGGCTCGGTGGGGGCGCGCCAGCAGGCGCAGTGGCTGGAGAGGATCGCTTTGCCGCCCCTGCCGCAGTCGCAGCTCCTCCTGTGCCACCTCATCGACGTCGACTACTTCGTCCAGGTACCGGGCCCGGCACGACGACCCCGCTCCTCCGCCGTCTTTTTTCCACCGCCGCGCCCGAGCCGAGCCGGGGCCGCCTCTGCCTGCCCCCGCCCCCCCATCCCCGCAGGTGGCGATCCGCAGCATCGGCGTGGCGGCCACGCTGCCCATCGTGGTGGGGAACGTGCCGGTGCTGCGCTGCCTGGGGCCCGCGACGGCGCTCACCCCCACCGCGCCGCCCCTGCCCGCGGCGCTCGGCTATGGCGGCGGTGGCGGCGGCGGCGGCGGAGACGGGCGGCCGTACGGTGAGACGCCGCCACTCGGCCTCGCACCGCCTGTATCCCCCGTGTGTCACCCTGACCACGCTCACCGCGCTCACCACACACCGCGCTCACCACACACCGTGCTCACCACGCTCACCGTACACCACACTCACCGTGCTCACCGTACACCGCGCTCACCACACACCACGCTCACCGTGCTCACCGTGCTCACCACACACCGCGCTCACCACACACCACGCTCACCGTGCTCACCGTGCTCACCGTGCTCACCGTACACCGCGCTCACCGTGCTCACCCCCTCCCCCCTCACCGCCCCCCCCCCCCCCCCGTGCCCTAGAGGCCTCTGCGACCCCTCTGCCCACCAAGCTTCACTCGCCGCTGCAGGACGGCCGCTGCTTCCCCACGCCCACGCACGGCGACTTCGGCGACGCCGGCGGCGCCAGCGGCGGTGCCGCCGCCGCCGCCGGCGCCCCCCTGGCTCCGGGCCCCCCAGCGGCGCCGTTCGGCGTCGGCGCTCCCCAGCTGTGCCTGGCGCCGGGGGAGACGGTGCCGTTCTTCGGCGGCGCCGGCGGTGGCGCCGCCGCCTCCTCCTCGTCCCATCATCCTCTGCTGCTTCCTCCCGAGTTCAGTGCCGCCCTCTTTCCGTACGGTGAGTGGAGCGTGGCTGGGGGGCTCGACGGCGGAGACGCCAGATTCATCGTTTGGGGTGTGTGTGTGTGCGTCTGTGTGTGTGTGCGTGTGTGCGTGTGTGTGTGTGCGTGTGTGCGTGTGTGTGTGTGCGTGTGTGTGTGTGTGCGTGTGTGTGTGTGGCAAAACAACCCCCTACTTCCTCGCGGTGCCGGACGGGCAACTCTGTCGTGGACAGTGCTGTGGGGGGTGGACAGTCCTCTACTCGGGGCAGCAGACTGCCAAACAACAGGGTGTGGCTCTTCTTTTGAATAAAAGAATGAAGGGGGCGTGGGAGCGTGGCGGTGAGGTGTGGGAAGCTGTAACCCCCAGGCTACTTTGGGCTCGCCTTCCCATCAACCGGAAGCGAGGAATGGTGGTCGTGGTTACTTATGCCCCCACCGAAGATGAACATCCGTGGAGGGATGCAGGCAAAGCCGATGAGTCAGATGCCTTCTATGACCTCCTGTCACAGGTGCTGGCTAAAGTGGCCCCTCAGGATAGAGTCATCATGTTGGGTGACTTCAATGCCCGAGTTGGTCATGATACTGGCACCTGGTCTGGAGTGATTGCAGGGCATGGGCCAGATCAGCTCAATAACAACGGTAGGAGGCTGCTAGATTTTTGTGCAGCCCATGGGCTTGTAATTACCAACACGCTGTTTCGGCATCGACGCATCCACACAACATCATGGATGCATGCCGGGTCCAAGCAAGAACAGCTGCTGGACTACATAGTGACGGACCAGTGGATGCGAGCCCATGTCCTTGACACCAGGACCTACCGTGGAGCTGATCTGCCCTCTGACCATCGACTAGTAATCTGTAAGATGCGCCTGCCATTCTTCCAGTGCGGTGGTGGGTGTACACCCAGGACCCCATTCCAACCTAAAGTGGCCTGGTCTCAGTTATCTGATGAAAGTTGCAAACGAGAATTTCATCATCGCTTGCGGCTGGGATTGGCATCGTCCCCGACTCCTCCTGAAGTCGAGGGCAAATGGGCGAGGTTTAGGACTGTGACTCATGCAGCTGTAATGGCTGCTTTGGGTACGCGGTCCAGACCTCCCCAGAGACCCTGGCTGACAGAGGAGGTGTTCAGGATGGTTGAGAAAAAGCGACAGGCCCACTGTCATCGGCTACAGAATCCCACGTCAGAGAATGAGGAGGCTTACCGCAGCCTTCGCTCGGAGGTTCGGAGAGCCGTGAGGCGCTGCAAGGATGGGTGGTGGTCGCATGTTGTTGAGGAGATGGAGTCTGCCTCAGTGGCCCGTGATCACAAATCTCTATTTAACTCCATCAAAAAAGTAATCTGCAGCACCACACCTATTACCATCATTAGGGGAAAAAAACGGTGACCCAATCTCCGACCCCCAGGAACAGGTTTGCAGATTTTCTGAGCATTTCTGTGAGGTCCTGGGGGAGGGAAAATCCCTCAGCCAGGAAAACATCGTGGCACAAAGTGAGGATGACCCTGCTGAGGCTGCGGTGCCCCAAATATTGGAAGAAGTCACCACCTGTGAGTGCCTGGCTGAGGTGCCATCTGTTGAGGAAGTACTGAAGGCGATCCGGAGTCTGAGACCAGGAAAGGCAGCGGGCAGAGATGATATCCCAAGCGAAATGCTGAGGGAGGGCGGCGTTTGTGCACAGACTGCCCTATATGATATCATAACAACAGTCTGGACCACTGGACGGTTCCGCAGGATTGGAAGGATGCCCTGGTGGTCCCCCTTTTTAAGAAGGGGGACCACACAGACTGTAACAACTACAGGGGCATCTCACTCCTCAATGTGCCGGGAAAGGTCCTGGCAAGGATTATTCAACATCGCCTTGCCAGGCACGCTGAGGAGAGGCTTGCGGAGCCCCAATGCGGTTTCAGGAAAGGGCGGCCCTGCACAGATGCCATATTTTCTGTCCGTCTGCTACAGCAGTGGTGTAGGGAATTCCAGCAAGACCTACATCTCTGCTTTATTGACCTGGTCAAGGCCTATGATACCATCAGTAGGCCTGGGCTCTGGGTTGTTCTTCGTGCTTTTGGAGTACCTGACCCTCTGCTCACGATCATTAAGAACCTTCATGATGGTGAGCGGGCCCGAGTAAAACTACGTGGCCGGGAGTCAGAGCCATTCCCTGTACACCTTGGGGTGCGACAGGGATGTCCTCTGGCTCCCACATTATTTAACATCTATTTTGACCACATAGTTCGTGAAGCCTTCAATAGCTATACCGGGGGAATCTCCATATGGTACAGATATAATGGGAGGCTGATCGATGCCCGGGTGCGGTCAAGGGATGGCTCCCTATTGCTCAACCACGTTATGTATGCTGATGATTTGGTAATAGCTGCTCATTCAGAGGAGGAGTTGGAGACGCTGTTGCTGAGACTGGAGCGTGCCACTAAGAGGTGGGGCCTTACCATCAGCCCCACCAAAACTAAGCACCTACCTGGGTATTTTATACCATCGGACACTCCACCCCCACAACTCCCAATCGGTGATGGGGCAGTTGTGGAGCGAGTGGAGAGTTTCCCATACCTGGGCAGTGTGCTTATGACCGGCTCCAGTTTAACAGCAGAGGTCTCACTCCGAATCAGTCGAGCGGCAATATCTTTTCATCGCTTGCGTAACGCTGTGTGGAAGCTACCTGGTCTGTCGCTCCGCACTAAGCTTCAGGTCTTCTCGGCCACGGTCATTCCCTCCCTTCTCTACGCTTGCGAAACGTGGACCCCCCTAATGGAACATCTTCGCCGGTTAGAAACATTTAGGCTGGCCTGCCTACGATCCATCCTGGGTTTAACCAGACTGGATTGTGTGAGGAGCTCACAAATCCTTGAAAGATCTGGGCAAGGTCCCATCGGTGAGCTCCTCCGGCGGGCAAGGCTGCGTTGGCAGGGTCATGTAGCCCGCATGCCCAGCCACCGCATGCCGAAACAGCTTTTGTTCGGTCAAATAGAGGGGGCTAAATGGCCGCGGCACGGGCTAGAGAAGAGATGGAGTGATGTGGTACAGGAGGACGTGGAGCTGAGCGGACTTGCCGATGACTGGTACCAGCGGTGTCAAAATCGGCCTCTGTGGAGGAGGCTCGTGAAGGACGCTACTGGGCAGTTGGAGGCAGTCGCCCTCCAACAACAACGGAGGGCGGAGGAGCGACGCTCACAACAACGAGCGGAGCGCCGGGTGGCTAAAGCACAGCAGGTTGGCACAGTAGGGGGCACAGGTGGTGCATCAGCCAGTCATCTCAGTCAGTCGACCCGTGGCACCTGGGTCTGCCCCGTGACCTCCTGCCAGCGGGCGTTCGACACTTCACGTGGCCTCAGGGTGCACATAGCCTGGCACAAGCGTCGTGGTGACGTCACCGCCACTTAGTGGCGAATGGCGGTTGTTGTGTGCGCATGCAGAAGCTCTATGCCGGTGGGCGAGTTAAGAGGGTGGGTGGGTGGGGGAGTGGGCTGGGGAGATGTCTATCTCTGTGTCTATCTCTGTGTCTCTCTCTGTGTCTCTCTGTGTCTATCTATGTGTCTATCTCTGGCTATCTCCAGCTGCCGTGTCTCTGTGTCTATCTCTTTGTCTATCTCTGTATCTATCTCTGTGTCTATCTCTGTGTCTATCTCTGTGTCTCTCTCTGTGTCTCTCTCTGTGTCTCTCTGTGTCTATCTATGTGTCTATCTCTGTGTCTATCTCTGGCTATCTCCAGCTGCCGTGTCTCTGTGTCTATCTCTTTGTCTATCTCTGTATCTATCTCTGTGTCTATCTTTGTGTCTATCTCTCTGTCTATCTCTGCGTCTATCTCTGGCTATCTCTGTGTCTATCTCTGGCTATCTCTGTGTCTATCTCTGGCTATCTCTGTGTCTGTCTCTGTGTCTATCTCTGGCTATCTCCAGCTGCCGTGTCTCTGTGTCTATCTCTGTGTCTATCTCTGTGTCTATCTCTGCGTCTATCTGTGGCTATCTCCAGCTGCCGTGTCTCTGTGTCTATCTCTGTGTCTATCTCTGTCTATCTCTGTGTCTATCTCTGCGTCTATCTCTGACTATCTCCAGCTGCCGTGTCTCTGTGTCTATCACTGTGTCTATCTCTGTCTATCTCTCTGTGTCTCTCTGTGTCTATCTCTGTGTCTATCTCTGGCTATCTCCAGCTGCCGTGTCTCTGTCTATCTCTGTGTCTATCTCTGTCTATCTCTGTGTCTATCTCTGCGTCTATCTCTGGCCATCTCCAGCTGCCGTGTCTCTGTGTCTCTCTGTGTCTATCTCTGCGTCTATCTCTGGCTATCTCCAGCTGCCGTGTCTCTGTGTCTATCTCTGTGTCTCTCTGTGTCTATCTCTGCGTCTATCTCTGACTATCTCCAGCTGCCGTGTCTCTGTGTCTATCTCTGTGTCTATCTCTGTGTCTATCTCTGCGTCAATCTGTGGCTATCTCCAGCTGCCGTGTCTCTGTCTCTATCTCTGTCTATCTCTGTGTCTATCTCTGTGTCTATCTCTGTCTATCTCTGTGTCTATCTCTGCATCTATCTCTGACTATCTCCAGCTGCCGTGTCTCTGTGTCTATCTCTGTGTCTATCTCTGTGTCTATCTCTGCGTCTATCTCTGCGTCAATCTGTGGCTATCTCCAGCTGCCGTGTCTCTGTGTCTATCTCTGTGTCTATCTCTGCGTCAATCTGTGGCTATCTCCAGCTGCCGGGTCTCTGTGTCTATCTCTGTGTCTCTCTGTGTCTCTCTGTGTCTATCTCTGTGTCTATCTCTGCGTCAATCTGTGGCTATCTCCAGCTGCCGTGTCTCTGTCTCTATCTCTGTCTATCTCTGTGTCTATCTCTGTGTCTATCTCTGTCTATCTCTGTGTCTATCTCTGCGTCTATCTCTGACTATCTCCAGCTGCCGTGTCTCTGTGTCTATCTCTGTGTCTATCTCTGTGTCTATCTCTGCGTCTATCTCTGCGTCAATCTGTGGCTATCTCCAGCTGCCGTGTCTCTGTGTCTATCTCTGTGTCTATCTCTGCGTCAATCTGTGGCTATCTCCAGCTGCCGTGTCTCTGTGTCTATCTCTGTGTCTATCTCTGTGTCTATCTCTGCGTCAATCTGTGGCTATCTCCAGCTGCCGTGTCTCTGTCTATCTCTGTGTCTATCTCTGTGTCTCTCTGTGTCTATCTCTGCGTCTATCTCTGCGTCTATCTGTGGCTATCTCCAGCTGCCGTGTCTCTGTGTCTCCGTACCCCCAGACCCACCGCCCTCCTATGAAGAGAGCTGCCAGGCGGCAAGCGACGACGCTGCACAGATGGGCGCGGCCGTCCTTGACCCTTGCCAAAGTGGCAGCGGCACGGAGGGGCCGTGGGCCCCCTGCGGGGAGTGAGGGGGGCCCCCCCCACCGCCCCCCCCCACCGCTACTGCCACTGGGGGTGGGGGGGGGGGTCCCCTAGGCGGAAAGACGCTGACTGAGTGCACGGGGGGTGGGGGTGGTGCAAGGCGCTGCGGCTCGCAAGCGAGCGCCACTGAGCACGCACCACACCACCACCACACCACAACACCACCACCACACCACCACCACCACACCACCACCACACCACCACCACCACACCACCACCACACCACCACCACACCACCACCACCACCACACCACCACCACCACCACACCACCACCACACCACCACACCACCACACCACCACCACACCACCACCACCACACCACCACCACCACACCACCACCACCACACCACCACCACCACCACCCGTGACTCTGCGTGTGGGTCTGTGGGTCTCTGTGGGTCTGTGGGTCTCCGTGTGAGTCTGTGACTCTGCGTGTGAGTCTGTGGGTCTCCGTGTGGGTCTGTGACTCTGCGTGTGAGTCTGTGACTCTCCGTGTGGATCTGTGGGTTTCCGTGTGGGTCTGTGGGTTTCCGTGTGGGTCTGTGACTCTGCGTGTGAGTCTGTGGGTTTCCGTGTGGGTCTGTGGGTCTCCGTGTGAGTCTGTGACTCTCCGTGTGGGTCTGTGACTCTCCGTGTGGATCTGTGGGTCTCCGTGTGGGTCTGTGACTCTGCGTGTGGGTCTGTGGGTCTCCGTGTGGGTCTGTGACTCTCCGTGTGGGTCTGTGACTCTCCGTGTGAGTCTGTGGGTCTCCGTGTGGGTCTGTGACTCTCCGTGTAGATCTGTGGGTCTCTGTGGGTCTCTGTGGGGATCTGTGACTCTCCGTGTGCGTCTGTGACTCTCCGTGTGAGTCTGTGACTCTCCGTGTGGGTCTGTGACTCTCCGTGTGGGTCTGTGACTCTCCGTGTGTCTGACTCTCCGTGTGGGCCTATGACTCTCCGTGTGAGTCTGTGGGTCTCTGTGGGTCTCTGTGGGGATCCGCGGCTCTCCGTGTGAGTCTGTGGCTCTCAGGCGACGGGTCTGTGGCTCTCTGCGTGAATATGTGCGCCTTTGTGTTCAGCACGCCTGGTGCTGCGTGCAGCCTTGTGCCGCACAGGGACAGCTGCCACTGGTGGGTGGGGGAGGTCCCCTTAGGCTTAGCAGCAGCACGGTCGAGATGCGGGCGTGGAGTAAAACACCGACACCGGGGGAGGCAAAGGCGGACGCCCCCGGGCGTGGCGGTGCTGGCCACCGACCCTCCTGGTGCGTCACAGCGTGCCGGCCTTCGTAGCCGCAGCCGCCACCAGCTACTCGCTACTAACAGCGCTTGCCCCAAACGTCGGTTCGAGGCAGCGCACGGCAGGGGGGGGGGGGAGCCTTTGCCTGGCGTGCGCCGGACCCGCGGCGTTTGACGACACGCCGCTTTGTTGTTTTTAATTATCCTTAAAGTTTCGGTTTTTTTTTTTAATGTCCGGGTAACTCCGCGCGACTCGGACGACTTGCAAGTCGTCCCGCGCGACCGGCCCGAGCGGCGAGACGCCCCGGGCGGGAGGGTCTCGTTTGCCGCGCGAGGATCGCTGGCGCGCTGGCTCGCTGGATCGCTGGCTCGGTGGATCGCTGGCTCGCTGGTGCGCTGGCTCGCTGGATCGCTGGATCGCTGGCTCGCTGGATCGCTGGCTCGCTGGCGCGCTGGCTCGCTGAATCGCTGGCTCGCTGGCTCGCTGGATCGCTGGCTCGCTGGATCGCTGACGCGCTGGATCGCTGGCTCGCTGACGCGCTGGATCGCTGGCGAGCTGGCGAGCTGGCGAGCTGGCTCGCTGGATCGCTGGCTCGCTGGATCGCTGGATCGCTGGATCGCTGGCTCGCTGGCTCGCTGACGTGCTGGCTCGCTGGCGCGCTGGATCGCTGGATCGCTGGATCGCTGGCTCGCTGGCTCGCTGGATCGCTGGATCGCTGGCTCGCTGGCGCGCTGGATCTCTGGATCTCTGGATCTCTGGATCGCTGGCTCGCTGGCTCGCTGGATCGCTGGATCGCTGGATCTCTGGATCGCTGGCTCGCTGGCTCGCTGGCGCGCTGGATCTCTGGATCTCTGGATCTCTGGATCGCTGGCTCGCTGGCTCGCTGGCGCGCTGGATCTCTGGATCTCTGGATCTCTGGATCGCTGGCTCGCTGGCTCGCTGGCGCGCTGGATCTCTGGATCTCTGGATCTCTGGATCGCTGGATCTCTGGATCGCTGGCTCGCTGGCTCGCTGGCGCGCTGGATCTCTGGATCGCTGGATCGCTGGCGATGTTGCGGCGGCGACGACCGCGGTAAAAGGAAACAAAAAAAATGGGGGCGTTGCGCGGGGACCCTCGGCCCGAGGAGCGACGCGTCGTCACGGCGACGGGCTCGGGAGCGACGCGTCGTCGCGGCGACGGGCTCGGGAGCGACGCGTCGTCACGGCGACGGGCTCGGGAGCGACGCGTCGTCGCGGCGACGGGCTCGGGAGCGACGCGTCGTCACGGCGACGGGCTCGGGAGCGACGCGTCGTCGCGGCGACGGGCTCGGGAGCGACGCGTCGTCACGGCGACGGGCTCGGGAGCGACGCGTCGTCGCGGCGACGGGCTCGAGAGCGACGCGTGACGCTGATGGTCGTGACGACGCGGTAAGGAGCCATCCACTGAGTCCGTACGCACAGAGGGGGGAGGGGGGGGGGTGAAGCCTCGATAATAATTTGTCTACATTGGCCTAAAAATAAGTTCGATAGTCCGGCGGTGGACTGTTTGCTTCAACACGTTACTATTATTAGTCATTGATTGTTTCTGCGTGGATTAAATATCGGCCGGTCTATAGGATTCGGCGGGGGGGGGGGGGCGGTGCGTCAAGCGAACCTACACAGGTGGCGGGGGGGGGGGGCAGGGGGGGTGTAGATAGTCTGCGTGCCTTCAGGGAGGGGTCAAGTTTTGACAGATTTTAGCGAACATTCTCAATGGGTGGCCCCTAAGGAGCGCCGTTACAACGCGGTTTCTGAGCCGTCGACGATGAAGCCGCTCTCTTGAGCCGCGTGGCTGAGCGGGCCGGTGGTAGAGTACGCGGAGTGATACGGTAACACGGCGGCATTCCCTCGGTCATTTGTCTCGCCATCTCACCGTGTGGCTACTACCACCACTACTACCGCCACTACCACAACCACTACCGCCACCATCACCACTACCACCATCACCACTACCACCACCACTACTACCACCACTACCACCACTACTACCACCACTACTACCACCACTACTACCACCACCACTACTGCCACTACTACCATCACCGCCACTACCACCACCACTACTGCCACCATCACCACTACCAGCATCACCACCACCACTACTACCACCACTACCACCACCGCCACTACCACCACCACTACTGCCACTACCACCACCACTACCACCACCACTACTACCACTACCACCACTACCACCACCACTAGCACCACCACCACTACCACCACCGCCACTACCACCACTACCACCACCGCCACTACCACCACCACTACCACCACCACTACCACCACCACTACTACCACTACCACCAAGACTAGCACCACCACTAGCACCACCACCACTACCACCACCACCGCCACTACCACCACCACTACTACCACCACCACTACCACCACCACTAGCACCACCACCACTACCACCACCACTACCACCACTACCACCACCGCCACTACCACCACCACTACCACTACTACCACCACTGCCGTCGTCATTGTTATCATTCGGCAAGGGGTATCGCGTCGGCGTCATCACCACCACGGTCATCGGTGACTGTGGCTCTCTTGTAGAGAGTGCCGGGGGGGAGATGGGGGGCCTGGGGGGCCGGGGGGGAGATGGGGGCCAGGGGGCCGGGGGGGCAGGGGGGGGGCGTGTGTGTGGTGCACTTTATGAATGTACGCCGAGTTTAGCGGAACAGAAAGTGGGCCTCTTGCCGCGCTGCACTTCGTGACGAGTTGCAAAGTGCAGTGCGGGCTGCACAATGTATATATGAAATACATACACATTGTATATACATTATATACACATTATAAACATATACATTGTATATATAATGTATATATAAAATACATACACATTGTATATACATTATATACACATTATAAACATATACATTGTATATATAATGTATATATAATACATACACATTGTATATACATTATATACACATTATATACATATACATTGTATATATATACATTACATATACATTGTATATGCATATACATTACATATACATTGTATATATATAATGTATATATAAAATACATACACATTGTATATACATTATATACATATACATTGTATATACATTGTATATAAAATACATATACATTATATATACATTGTATATACACATTGTATATGTAATGTATATACACATTGTATATATAATGTATATACACATTTAATATATAATGTATATACACAATGTATATACAATGTATATATAATGTATATTTGTATATATGCATCTACAGTAGAACCTCGGAGATTGAACGCCCCAGAACTTGAACAATTTGGTGATCAAACAAAACAAAACTTTCCACCATTTTTTGCCCCGGGCATCGAACAAAAATTCGGAGGTCGAACAACCGGAAAGAACCAGTTTGGGCCGCGACGCGTAACCAGGGCGACCGAGACGCGTAACCAGGGCGACCGAGACGCGTAACCAGGGCGACCGAGACGCGTAACCAGGGCGACCGAGACGCGTAACCAGGGCGACCGAGACGCGTAACCAGGGCGACCGAGACGCGTAACCAAGGCGACCGAGACGCGTAACCAGGGCGACCGAGACGCGTAACCAGGGCGACCGACACGCGTAACCAGGGCGACCGAGACGCGTAACCAGGGCGACCGAGACGCGTAACCAGGGCGACCGAGACACGTAACCAGGGCGACCGAGACAAAGGCGAATGACCCAGTTCACGCGTAGGCTCTCTCGTCCTTCATCACTGTAAAGTTCCTGCCCCCCCCAATACGCCTCCTCTCATCCAGCCCATGGACCAACAGGTAATTTCCAACTTAAAAAAACTCTACACAATTTTGTAGAAAAATTTCATCCAGATAAGGCAGTAGCCAGCAGTGGCAGGCGATTTTTATGATGATGATGATGATGATAATGCATTGAGTCATTTCAGAAACATCTTGTAACGGAGGCGGAAACAATCCTCTCTTGATCAGTTTTTAGTAAAAAGGCCCTCAAG